TAATGTTAATGACTCATTGCATGACACAGGTATGGCCTTCACTGGGATTTTATCAGCTCATACTTGGCTTATAAGAGTATGTGCTTTCATAGGAGCAATTCATATTGTAGTCAATACAATTTAATTCAGAGTAAATATAAATAGAATTGTGTTCCTAATTATAAAAGCATTTAATCTATGTAAGTATGTAATAAACTGGTATCTTTTAAAGATAAATAGTTCATAACTCATATAACTCTACATCATGGCTGAGCTCAATTTGCACATTTTATGATTAACAACTTTAACAAACCTAAAAGCACACTAAGAGATTTTTAATATTATATAAAACGGATAACCTTGACTTAACATTTTGTCCAAAAATAGCATGGATAAGAATGAATAAATGAATAAAATAAGAATTGGGACCTACTTGTTCAATCCATATTTTAAAAAAATATTGCAATAGAATCAAGATACCAAATACACCATTCTCTTTAAAATAATCTTCATTCTAGAAGTTACTTGCTAAAGAATTTGAGAAAAAAAATCCTATCCTATCACTTAAAAAAAACACCTTCAAAATTTCACTTCTTTCTTGGCCTGTATTCTGAATTCACTTATCATTATCTTAAAACAATACCATCAGCTATGACATCTAATTCAGGATAAGAGACAAGAATCATCTTAAGATGGTTTGAATAGAGTGGAAAGTTAAAATACAGCATTTTGCTTGCTTTTGGACAATACTATAAAGCAAAATGAATATTTAATTTGAGATCAATTCATCTGATTAGAGCTGGATTTTATATTCTCAGCTTGATACAAGAGGCAGAAGGAACAAGATTCAAAAGTGCAATTTTTTTCTTGACTAGCTGAATTTAAAATTAAAAACTACAAACCTACTTAGATTAACAAGCAACATTAACACAACTGAGGTCGTTTTCACATTTTATTTTTCAAATGTCAAGTAAGGTTTGAATTAATTTACTTATTTACATTAACAAGCAGTATTAACATAGTTGAGGTCATTTTCACATTTTATTTTCAAACAGATGTCAAGTAAGCTTTGAATTAATTTACTGCAACTGTACATTTATTTTGACATAAACAACTTTAAAATTTTGGCAAAGATACCATAAAAACCGTTCCCCAATAAATTTTGCCAAATGCTTACACAATATGTTTTTCAGATGTAATCTCCAAATCATCAAGACAAATATATCTGTTCAAAAGATCATGTTGATAAAATAAAACTTCTGGGCCACTACATTTGGAAGACAAATTTCATCCCCTTTAAAGAATTCCTACAACTTTTCTAAAGTGAGAGATTGTGAACAGGTTAAAAGAAAATACCAAGAAAAACAATGACAAAACAGACATACCATACTTCATTGTATGAGTGCAATTCAGAAATAAACCTCCGTTTGGTTATCAATGACAGACACTCGCAGATACAGAACTTTTATCATACATATTAGAAAACTACAACATTACATTACTTTTCAACATAATCACCATTTTCAAATTGAGGCACTTGTCATAACATTTTACAGGGTTTGAAATTCCTTAGTACTAATCGCTCGGCACCAAATCTGGGCTATGGGTGTGTGTGATCAAAAACATCCCAACGGAACTGCTTCAAAAGTTCTTGGGTGCATCTAGCGGTGTGCAGGCGAGCATTATCGTGAACCAACACCATACTGGAAGTCAACATGCCCCAGCACTTGTTATGGATGGCTCGTCTGAGTTTTCATAATGTTTCACAGTAGACTTCTGAATTAATGGTCAAACCACGCTTCATGAACTTCACTAGCAGTACTCCTTCGGCATCTTCACATTTGGTGGGATTTTCTATGGCAGGGCTTGTCAACCAGTGGTACGGGTACCACCTGTGGTACATTGGCACCTGGCAGGTGGTACGCGACCATCCTAGAAAAGTAGTGGGGGAGGGGAATGAGTTGCAGCACCACACAAGCCTGAGCAAGAGGTGACTGGAGCTGCAGGGCTGTCAGGGATCAGCAGAAGCACCAGGATCAGCGCTTCTTCGGAACTGTCAGGGCTCAGTGGAAGCCCCAAGATCAGCGCCATGCTTCAGCTGGAGCTCAGCGCTGATCATGGCGCTTCTGCTGAGCACAGAAGAAGTGTCAATCAGCTGGAATGTTGCAGCATCTCCGGGGTCTTGTGATTTGCATTCAGATGCTTGGCAACTGATTCATATTTATGATGGTCACAATGTCACAGGGTCATGTGAAGTGACCAAAACCTGCTGCAACCACCCAGCAGATGGGGAGAATAAAAACTAAACACCCCCCACCCCACCCCCGCTGCCAATCCTCAACAGAAATGCTCACAACAATGAAAACCTCAGACAGGAGGAAGAGCGCCGCCGGGTGGGCAGGCAGGTGTCTTACTCGGCTGTGGCTTGGGGGGGCACTTTTTTCAGTGCCATTGTAACTTCGAACAGTCACTAAGTGAACTGTTGTCAGTCAAGGACTACCTGTACTTTATCACTTTTTCCCCTTTTTTTTTTGGTCATCAAGTTTTTGACACCTTGCTAGGCGACTGGTGGTACTCGGATATTGCCATATCCTAAAAATGGTACAATGGGTGAAAAGATTGAAAAGCCCTGTTCTATGGCATCACTTCTGGTGTGATATTGATTTACGGCAGTGTTTCTCAACCTTGACAATTTTAAGCCATGTGGACTTCAACTCCCAGAATTCCACAGCCAGCAATGCTGGCTGTGGAATTCTGGGAGTTGAAGTCCACATGCCTTAAAATTGTCAAGGTTGAGAAACACTGGTTTACGGTAATGCTCGCCCACACACTAGATGCACCCAAGAACCTTTGAAGCAGTTCCATTGGGATGTTTTTTATCACCCCCCCATAGCTCAGATTTGGTGCCGAGCAACTACTACTAAGGAATTTCAAACCTTGTAAGACGTTATGACAAGTCTCTCAATTTGAATGGCAATTATGTGAAAAAGTAATGTAATGTGGTTTTCTAATGTGTATAATAAAAGTTCTGTATCTGCGAGTGTCTGCCATTGATAACCAAATGGAGGTTTATTTCTGAATTGCCCTCGTATGAAAGTTACAAAATTAATGCACTTGGCTCCTGACCCAGAAAGCACTTCAACACTTTCCTGAAGCCAGTTCAGATCCATTTGGGAATTACTGAGTAATACATACACACATGCAGAAAACATAAACCTATCATCAAAGTTAAGTGGGATGGAGTCACGGAGTCCATTTACAGCAACACTAGATGGAAACAAGATTTTCTTCTGTGTATAGATAAAGCTGGAACACAGCTTGCTAAGCAACATTTTCAGTATTAATATTGCACAATGAATTAGTGTACTTCAGAATCCCAATGTTACATTTTCATTCTTTAGTTAAGCTTCCCAATGACCAACATCAATTCGGGTTATTTAACAGTAGCACCAAAAAGACAAAGCAGCGTATTTCCCATATTCCCTTTGTGGTATCTCTGGCATGATTGCAATTTGAAAATAGTTTTTTCTTACCTTTGTGATACACATGATTTAACTGTATAAAATTTAGAACTGAAGCCATATGAATTCTCACTTTCATTTACGGTACTCAGTCTTCTTTTGGCTCTATTTAAGACTATTAACATGAGTAAGTAATTTGAATATGATAATTTGTCAGCAGGCAAGAATATTTAATTGGTAAAAAAGATATTCCTTCCTCAGAAATATAAATTCACTATACTATTGGCAAAGCTGCTAAAAGTGGGATTCACATTGACAAGTCTCCTTGTAGCGAAAAGTAATATAATGAGTAATTTGATTGGAGGAATTTTAGGTAAGGCTAAACTGTTTAAATATTAGGAAAAGCTCAGTAATAAAACTATATTAACAGTGCAATCCTGTAGAGGTTTGTTCAAAAGCCATTACAACTGAATTCAGTGAATTTTGAATCAGTAAACTTACACTCTGAAGTAAATACTAGAAAAGTTAACTATGATCTAATGAGTTAAGCATTCACAATACAAATGCTGTTTAGCTTTAATAAGTGATCTGCAGTAGACATCCCTACCCAACCAAGCTTTTATCAAAAATAAAAGCAGTAATGTGGTGCAACATTATTTCACATTTATATAACGTTACTGACCAGGAGAAATACTGCTGAAAGCATTCAGTAAAGTACTTTTCTTGGCTCTAACAAAACTTTATTTTCCTTTGGTCAGACATCACCCCAAAATGCTGACTTACAGCGATAATTGTTATTGTCAGATGTATTATTTTTGCAGCTGTACTGAATCTTAATATCAAAAAATTTGGAATGTCTCTGTATGACATGAGAACTACCACAACTCTACTATCCTACCTACATGACATTTTCTTGTACTAAGCTAAGGGCTCTGTAGCCCAGTTTTCATTATCACAGAATTCTTCCTTAATCACAACATATACCGTTATTCCTTGATTTACAAACATCCGTTTAGTGCAGTGGTTCTCAACCTTTCTAATGCTGCGACCCCATAATACAGTTCCCCATGTTGTGGTGACCCCCAACCACTTATACATCACCGGGTGCCAGGGGCATGGCCAAAGAAGTGGGGGGAAAAATGGCGGACAGCCTTGTTTGGCGACCCCTGTGAAATGGTCGTTCGACCGCAAATGGGGTCCTGACCCACAGGTTGAGAACCACTGGTTTAGTGACTATTCAAAGTTACAGCAGCACTGAAAAAGGTGAATTATGTCCTTACACTTACAACTGTCACAGCATCCCCATGGTCATGTGATCAAAATTCTGGGACTTGGCAACCAGTTTTGGTGTCATGTGATTGCCATGTGCAACCATCCCAGCTGGCTTCCTACAAGCAAAGTCAATGGGGACAGCTGGGTTCGTTTAACGATTGCATGATTCAATTAACAATTGCACTGATTTGTTTAACAACCATCACAAAAAGATTGTGGAATTAGGCGCAACTCAGTTAATAACTTCCTTAGCTTAGCAATGAAAATTCTGGGTCTCAATTGTGGTCATAAGTTGAGAACTACCTTGTATCAAGCTTAAATTTATAATCAATACTAAATAAAACATTTCTGAATAGATCCATGTAAATAATCCATTCTACCCTAGGGTTTAAGGTCTTACTTAAGAACTCGAAATGCAGGTGAAATGGCTTAGTGCCTTTGTCAAATATTCAACTTAAAAAAATAGGTGATGCAAAATAAGCTGCCTAGAGATATTATAATAACTAAACAATCCAGTTTATACATGTCATGATTAAAAAATTCAGTATTAAGAGTTTTTGTGGTTTTGCTAAATGTTAGAAAGGAAAGGTATTCCAACATCAGTTGGACTGAATATGTAGACTAATAACATGGCAAAAACCAAAGCTGATAAAGAGATAAAGTTTAAGCTGTTTTCTCTAATGTTACTAAAGGGGGGAATCTGCATTTCATCTTAGATCTTATTTAGGAAAAAATATAAATCAGCTTCTTACTGAGCTTATATCCTGCAAAGCCATGACTATGCAAAAGCTGAAAAGTTATCATTATTCGGGCTGCCCCTTTGATCTAAGATCTGACCAGCACTGTCCCCTTCGTCTGGCAGGCAAGATCTGGCCAGAAATATCTGAACTTTTTGTTGTCAAGCTTATTGAAATGAGTTGTTCTCACTGCTGAAAGCCTTTCATTTTACAAATGAAACAGAACGGTAAAAACAAGCTGCTTTAGAGTTTCTTCTACAAGGATCTAAGTTTGCTTCTTTCTCCCAAATGAAATTAGTCAATGAAAAAAGTTGCTGGTGTGGATGCTCTACGAAAAAGTAGGCTGGAACCTCTGAAGAGTTGCCCCTGGAGAATGGAGAGGAAAATGTTATAGAAAATGGCTTATTAAGATCCGTTGCAACTTCTTGCTGATCAACCAAGAACTGCAATAATCACAGAGACAGAGAGACCACAATACCTGGCAGTGAATTTCAGGCTCAGCAAGCATAGGAATATATATGTGTAAAAAAATATGTGGCGGGGTGGGACAAAAGTTGTAACTTTTTGAATATTGATGAAAGAAAGCAGATATAATGCTATTATAGGATGATGTCAGCCAGAGAAATGAAATTGCCTAGAGACTCAATTCACATGGAATACACATTTACTTTCAGTGGCAACCCCTGGAGGTTCCCCCCCCCACATTTTAGTGTCTGATCTGTTTCTTCTCTATTCCTAGTAGGATTTCAAATGAAAGCCTCCCAAAGCCTCCATGCGGGCAAAGTAATTCTCCACACTAGCTATTTAAAAGCTTTTAAAACACTCTTTATTATCCTTTTAGGTAGCACAAAATTCAGTGAAAAGGAATCAAAAACTCTTTGGTTCTGAACAGTGGTTTTTAAAAGGTTTTACAGAAAATCAATTTAAAAAAATATATAGCTTTTTTGTTATGAGAGTTGGAGCACTAGAATGAGAGACTTCTCAAATGTACCATAATGCTTTTCTTTTTGTAGATTTATACTGAATATAAAATCAGTTTCAAGTTCTTGCTATGTCTGATGAATAGAAAACCTTGGACACTGATTGAGATACATTGTTCAAGTTTATTTTAAAATGTGTCATTTTTTGGTTTTTTTGAACAGATATACTGTATCAATAAATGCTTACAACTCTCAAGGAATAGCAGAAGAATATTCTTCAACATGCAACGGATATGATTAACTTAGTTACTGACTAACCTATAATGTGATATAGTTCTATAGGTTTTATTCTACACTGCAATGACATAGGCAACACAAAATCTGTTTTCACTTGCAAAAATCTGTCCAGGATTACTAGACATGAAAATGAAACACTGTACCTTCCAACGTACAACCTTAATTCTCAAATATTTCTGTTTGTATAAACTTTTGAGAGGAAACAAGAATGAAATCTTATTGCATTGAGAACGCTATAACCACACATAAAAAAATGGTAGACTGACACCTCTATTTAGGCACAATATATAATTAGGGTATGTGTAAGCAAATGATTGGGGGGGGGAGAAAAGAATGAGCAGAATTCAAAGCTGCAAGAATCAAGTTGTCATTTAATAATATGTTCTGAAGATGTAATTCTTTTTTTTTTTAAGTTAATAAAGGTATAGAATGTTCCTGCTTGCACTTCTCAATACATGCTGAAAAACACCATTGAACTGACAATATAAACATTATATAAACATTATATAAAGACAAATAATGATGTGATGGTTGGGATTAAAATAAATCTAGAGATATATACAATTAGAAAAATGCAACTAATAGTTTCAAGTGTATAAAAGTATAAGGAGAGAAGGAAAACAGGAACCAATTAATATGTAAAAAGTTATAAAAATATTTTGATGCATAGGTAAGTTAAAACAAGAGTCTTGATTTTCAATAAAAGAAGCAAAGCAAAATTTAAAACTGGATCCCCATCTTTTCTTGCCAGATTTCTAGTTGTGCCCCTTAGCTATTCATGTCTAGGGAATCCCTACTTAATATAACACATATAAAGAACCCATCTATTGTAAACTTCCTTCAAGGACCTTTTAAAGATTAAAGGAAGAAAATGTAAAAATAGAAGTTGAGGGAAGGCAATCTTTTTCACAGGAAACAAGAGGACCATTTTATCTGCTGCTTGATTTTATGTGCTTGTAATTCAGAATAAGATAAGGAATAGTAAAAGAAAAAAGAAAGAAAAAAAGAAAGAGAAAGAGAAAGAAAGAAAGAAAGAAAGAAAGAAAGATGGAATTATTTACATGGGCCAGTATCCACTTCAGAGAAAGAATGATGCTCACCTGAGCACTAAGGTGTCTCCAACAATGAATCCAAGAAGAAAACACAGGGGCATATGGAGAGAGCCCAGCAAGTAACCTATATAACAAAGAAAGCTGTCACAGAGGAGAACATACACATGAGCCAGTACTGAGACAGAGAAAATAAAAAGTAAGGCATATGTGGCAACAGGTATGTTTGCTGCAGAAGAAAGCATGTTTTTGCCTTAGAAAGAAACTGGCTTGTGCTTTTCCTAACATAAGATGTTTCTACAATCTGCTAGATATATATAACCAACTCATTTTCTGGATTTAGGCAGAAATTTCAATTTTTAAAATCTCAATCTGTTATTTTATAATTTGACTCATGCTGGATACAGTTGTCAATTATTATATACTGACTAAAGTTTGATATTGACTAATTTTAACACTGACCTAAAATACTAAGTATTTTACATTGATCTGAAGCAGGCAGATTTATATCATGTAATTTTGAAATATTATAGCTGATTTTATAAGGCCTGTAAATTCCCTTTCTATTAATTTTTCCTTTTTCTCTTTTCTTATTTTTATTCTTCCTTTATCTTTTTTCTGACTGCACTTCTAAAATAAATTATAAAAAAGAAAGGAAGTTATCTGCAAAATATATTACTTGTGCATTCTGTAGTTAGGTTTTGCACAAATTGATAGGATAAGAAATTCTTCATCAAATTTTCTGTCATTTGATACCTGACAGTTTATAAATTTGAAATATATTTGCAAAGAAAGTCTATATGCTTTATGTTTATTAAACTAAAAATGCATATAGTTGAAAAAAATAATGTTTTCCCTAAACACAAACCAGACACATTACAACCAGTTATTTTCTTCCTTCATTGATTCCAAATATATCCGTATAATATAAAGTCTATTCTCTCTCTCTCTTTAGTTCTGTTTTCTTTCTTGACAAAGAAGACAGGAAAGTAATGCTGGTTTTCTTTACCGGTATTCATACAAGAGTTAAAGTCTTTTATCTGCCCACTAAATTTTCACTGGAGAGATTAAGCTGTATTTGCTGGATGGAAGGATGGGGATTAAAATCACGTACCCACAGTTGTTCACTGCCATGAGATCACCCACAAGAAGAAAAGGGTATGTCAACATGCTCACCGCAATCTGTAACAAAGAAATATCTGAAGCATTCCTTCTATTCTTCACTGTTAAGCAAAACACACACACACACACACACACACACACACACACACACACACACACAAACGAGGTAGAAGAAGGCTTTGTACAGAAGAAATTGGAAAGGACCAGCTATAAACTATTTTTACCAGAATTGGGTTAAATATTAATGCAGTAATATACATATAACCAACTCAGCAGATCACAGAAACAATTGTAAATTAAAAAAAGCCTGCACTTAAAAGAATTATCAATACTTAGTATTGCAGCTACACTTTTCGGTTGATATCTACATCTGGAAATATATCTTCAGTTCCCATTAATTGCAGCACAAAGATTTCTTGCTAACTTTTCTGAAAAGATAGGCCATCATGATGTTGCTTTTGTCTTATTCCCACCAATTGAGATGGAAACTGATATTGCCTTTAGTTATTCCAGGGTTAGTGTTTTCCATTTTTTTATAAAGCCTGCCATGCAAATGATCATTGATATCTCATTTATGGTGTGATTTATGACGCAGGCAGAGCTGGGATCTGCCATCTCCAGACAGCTAGGCCTTGTAAGGGTAAGGAGAGAAGCACGTGTGGGGAGCTGACTCTTTTTAATACCAGAACTCCAATTACATGGAGCTACTCCCCATCTGCTTGCTCAGCAATGGGACCTGATATCTAGACTAACAGGGCTGGATAAGGTAGCAGGGGAGTGGGACAGAAGTCAATTTCTACATTGTCAGATCTCCAATCACATGGAACTGAACCATCCAACCAGAGGCCTGAAAGGAAAAGGCTTGGCCTCCTGTAACCATTTGTGTTTGATGGGGCTTTCTGAGGTTGCTGAACTCACACAGATCAAAAGGTTTTCAAGCTGCCTCAAAAGAGCTCCACACAATGGTGTTTTTTTACATATTACAATTATCAATTGATGAGGGATTTGTAATCTGTCTCACATCTAAACCTTCATCTGCGTAATCAACCTCTTTTCCTCTCTCTCTCTTTTCCAATATCTCATTATATGTATATCAAGTCACTCAACCATCTGATGAAGTGAACTACAGCTCACAAAAGCTTATGCCTTTTAATAAAATTTGTTAGTTGGAAAAGTGCTGCCAAGACTTCTGTTTTTTCCCCAATTCAAAGAATGGGGCTGGAAACTGCACTCCCAAGATATTAGGAAGAGAGGAGCGACAGGAGCAATGGATCAGGAACATACAGCTATACACATTTTAAAAGGCACAAATCTTACATACCCCCATCACAAACTTAGTGTAGCTCCGAATGACAGAAGCTTGGTTGAACTGTAAGAAAAAACAACAATAATCCAAATCCAAGGTATCTTGGAGTCCACAGCAACACACATGTTAAATGAACACAGGAAAACACTTGACAATAAATCCTAGGGAATGTGCAAAGATTATGGCAGAAGCCTTAGCACAGTGGTTCTCAACTTGTAGGTCGGGACTCCATTTGGGGTCGAACGACCATTTAACGGGGGTCGCCAAACAAGGCTGTCCGCCATTTTTTTTCCCCTTTTCTTTGGCCACGCCCCTGGCACCCGGTGATGTATAAGTGGTTGGGGGTCACCACAACATGGGGAACTGTATTATGGGGTCGCGGCATTAGAAAGGTTGAGAACCACTGCCTTAGCAACCTCATCAGTAACTGACTCTCAGAAGGAATGGCATCATTTCAGGCTCATAAGAGGTGAAAAAAACCAATGCATCTATAATTTTATTAGGGAAAAAGTTAAGAGATCAATTAGAAGAAGACCCTACTTGAGTATAATAAAATTTAGTCATTTAATATTTGAATCCTATCAATATCCAGAAGTACCAAATTTTATTATTAGTTAGGAAATAGCTTTCAATGTTAAATAGATTTTGTTTTTCCTTAGACTTAGTTTACTTCCTGTAAAAAAAACAACAGTAAGTGAATATGGGAAAGCTGCCAGCATTAAAAAAAAAAAAAAAAAAGAATGGCCAAAAGGAAATGACTATTGTACAATAATACTCAAGCTAGTGAAATTATGATTTCTTCCAATCCAGTTTCTTGTTCGATATCATCATGAATTATTTATTAGATTTATATCCCTTTCTCCCAGGCTTGGATGGAAGCATACATGTTGATGTTTATTTATCTTCACAACCATCACACACATATGAGGTGGATTGGACTGAGGATGTATGACTGCTTCAAAATGCATTTTCATGGCTGAGGTATGAACATGCACCTTAGCTGGGAGCAGCCTGAGGTCTTACTCACTACAGCACATTGCATCTTTGGGGAAAAAAATTTGGAGCTCAATAAGATTAGGAAAGTCATCACTCACATTGTCATCCACAGCATAAGTGTTGATAAAATGAGCCAGAAGGTTGCAACACCACAGAAAAATAAGGTCACCTAGGACATGAGGAACTAAACCTCTGAGGGAAAAGAATAAGAGGAAATATTAAATAAAAATATTCTTAAATCAGCCTCATACAATTTGGAGAACAATAATAGTAAAGTCTTAAAGATTATACACATGAAATTTGTATTTGGAATACAAAAAAACCCAAAAAACTAGAGAGAGCTTAGGGACTAAATCAAATCCCAAGGCATGTAGTAAGAAAATGAAAGATACAAGATCTTAGAATTCCATAAATGCTCTAATGCACATTGAGGAAAGAAAAGAATGAACTCCAGGCCAAATGTTAATGCACAGAGACAAAGAAATCTGATATACAACAACATGCCTTGGAAAACTAATCATAAATATGAACGTACTAATTAATTCAGCAATAGTAAATAACTTAGTGAATGCAGAAAGCAATGAGGGTGAGTGAGAGCTATTTAGTATCATATCTATATCTATAGGATACTACAGTCACTAATTATGTATGTGCCTATATTTAACTGCAACAGAAACATTTTATTAACCCAACCATCCAAGAGTCCATACTTTTTGAAAGCCATACCCTATTTTCTAATTAACTGCTAATACTAGTACGTACACTTTAGATGTTACCCCTTTGCTGGCTACTTTGTGCCAGGCAGGATACAGTGGATGAAAAGACCCTTTTTCATATTGCATTCTACCAATGTAAAAACTCACTAGCCATGATATACGGTAGATTATTATCTTCTTTATGCCTTTCATCTTTCCAGAAAAAAATTCCTGGGAAATTAGCTTCCAGGTATGCAAACTGTTTGCAGGATAAAATGCCCTAGTTTTTATGGAATATACAGCATATTACCATTTAGGTTGGTATGTTCCTGAGTATTTACATTCTCTCAAAAGACTTTCCAACACTGATAATGTGATAGGAAATGAATAGAAGGGGAGTTATTAAGGAAGTGAACAATGTCGTCTTTTAATACTGTAATTCCTTATAAATTAAATATCTAATATTTGTCTTGGTTCTAGGTACTATTTTGCTCTGGTTTCATTTGATTATTGGAAGAAAGCTACCAATGTACTATTTAAAAGTTGCTCATTTCTGTTTGAAAGATTTTGGAAGTGGTTTGCATTGCCTCCTTCCAAGAACTGAGAGAGAGCGATTAGCCCAAGGCCACCCAACTGGCTTTGGGCCTTAAGCTCTACAACAACCCGGATCTCTCACTTCATTTTATAATATAATATTATAATATTGTATTATACAATATTTTAATATTTTTCTGTTCTAAGAGAAAGGATTTGGGCCATTCAGAAAATTTAAAGTAGAATCTCTTAAGAGTTTTTTTTAGAATCTTAAGAAAAAGCCAATCATATGAGATGCAAATCTTAACAGGTGACCAGGAAATGTATAGTTTGACCGTATTCCTTATTTATATAGTGATGTCTATTTTCGAATTCAAAAAATCTTTACTGATTTATATGCTATATCATTAAGTAAAAAAGTTAAATTTAGCCCTGATTAAAATGTAACTGCAGAAACAGATTAATAATCTCCCAGTTTGAATCAGTTCTAATAATTCATTGCGCTTGAACAGGTTTTGCAATTCTTCAAAAATATATCCAGGAACTTTATGAAGGGGAAAGTCCCAAGTCCAATTATTTTATGAGAGATTGTTATTTTTATGTGAAACCTGAATTGTGACTGACCATGAGAAACAAGAAATTGTCAAGTATTATCTCTTTCTCTTTTTTATATAATGCCAGAAGGTATTAGCACACGTAATACACTTTTAATAAACAATTCTGAACTTTGAACTGAATTATAACAGTTAAGGAAAGCTGACTGTTCTGAACAAGAGCTGATTCTTCTCAGTGGTGTGAGACGTGATCCTCAATAACAATATAGCAAGTTACTTAAGTTACAGAAAGACTTACTTACACAAAGAATCCCAAGAGTCCTTCTTCTTTCCAAATTGTCTTGACTGAGCTAATAATATTGCTGTTGACAAAGGAAAACCATTAGATCTGGGTTGAAGTGCTCTCTTACACCTCTTCAGCCAAAGTAAGTTACAGCATTGCTGCCAGTATTCTTCAACAACAGGAAAAGAAACATATATATTTCTTAGAAATAATTATTGATATTGATCAAATATTTTTATTACTACTAGCCAGTGCAATACTATAAATCTCCTTGTTATTATTCTCAGATTGAGCTATAAAATCTTAAGAAGATCTCACCTGTACTTTACTTCTCGTCCTACGAACTGGACCATACAGCGCATAGATATTACTTCAGAAGAAAAAAACAAGAGATATGAATATAGAAGTAGTTCACTTACATATCTTTATATTGAGAAAATATCCCAAAATTGACTGATTCATAATAGCAAAAGGAGTTTCAACTGAAATATTCTACAGGTCTCTGGAATTCAGAATTTTCTTCCCACAGAGATCTATCAGATGATTATTGGGAACTTAAAACAATTATCTGCAAAAGTAGTAACAACGGCCTGTATTCCCAGAGACCTGGAATTCAGAGTCTTACTTCTTTTAATATTACAAATATAATATTTATAGATACGAAGATGACTCTGAATTTAAGGATATTTTACCACAGGAAAAATAGATAGGAACAAAATATATACCAACAGACAAAAATCCTGTGAAATGCCTACATTTTTCAACAAATTTTAACAAGTTATTATAGTATTGTCTGTAAAGCAGGACACTTGATCGGTAAGTTTCCCAGCTGCATATAAAACCATTACACACTCAAACTCCTTTCACACACATGCCTACAAACTCACACACCAGAAGGGATATGAAGAAGAAGGGAAGGGGAATAGCACCAGGAAGGTGGAAGTTAAGTGGACAGAGAAGGGAAGAAGAGAAAGCAAAGTTTTAAAAACAAATATATCAGGCAAAAAAGACCTTTTTTGGACTAATCTTCAAGGCATATACACTTTTTGAAAAAAAAATCTAGTTATTTGTATGTCCTGCCAATTCCTTTGTTTTCAGTTCTACTCAATTATAGCTGATTAGTGTGGTGGGGTAGGGTGTCATCTTATGAGGTAACTATGGTAATATATGGACAAGATAACCAAAGGTGTGCAAAACCTTCTCAGGGCAAAAGATTCTGATGCCAAAACACCTCATGGGACTTCATCAGATGTGATCCCATCTCAGGATAGACCCTTCTGAAAAGGAGAGGTAGTCTAAATCATTTCATGTCCAAATAATTTATGCTGAGGTTGAATACAATGTTTCAGATTGAAACATTTTGCACACCACTATCCATGACAGATAACCACTGATTTAGCTCAAAATCAATTGAAAATTGGTCATAGTAAAGAGAGAAAATGTGAAAATACTTACTTAAATAAAATAAATTTTAATTAAAAAATTTATAATTTTATAGGGAAAAGACCACAAAATGAATGTTTAAATGGAGATGGGACTTGACAAGAGCAGATTCCATAACTCACCATGAAGTGGATGAGAAATAATTCGGGATACACATTGCATCGTCATCTCATGGCAAGTCTGATAAAATATGAAAACAGAGCACTTTTTTACCTTAAGCAAATCATCTCACAACCAGTACATCATAATGAGAAACTTGTTATTTTAATTATCTTAGTTTCTTATTTGAAAAAAGTATTTGCTGGATTACACGGAATATAGTAATATACTTTCTCTGCTACTCTAAGTCATTCTCTATGTCTTATGCTATTGCTCTAAAGGATTGCCATATATTGTATATTATTCAGATACAGATAGTCCTTGAATTATGATGGTAACCAGGACCTGAATTTACATTGCTAATCAATATGGTCATAAAGCTTGATGTCATGTGGCGCTTAGTGCCAAGTTGCTTTGTAAGGGCAATCCCAGCACTCCCTTTTGCCAAATTCCACCAATCATTCCCCAGCTCAGGCCAGCAGCACAATGCAAAGCTAGAGCTGTCCAGGAAGCCCCAGCTGCTCCTGCCTGGCTCAGCCCCAGCTGCCCCAGAAAATCCCAACCCAGTCCCAGCTGGCCTTGGCTTTCTGCACTCAGAGTGCTACTCTGCACTCCACCATCCAGGTGTCCTTTGCCATTGTCTTGTTTTCACTGCTGATGCAGTATGCCTGGCCTGGCCCTTTGTGAGGCAGGTAATGGCCGCATGAGCCTTCTTCTCGAGGTTTCACACAAGGAAATGGCTGCACATGACTTTATGCAGCCAGCAGCAGCCTGGGAGTGCTTGGATTAGCAGCAGGAGTAGCAAGGCAGACGTTAGCTGGGCATGGAGCACAGAGTGGCTGGGGCTGCTGAATAAGGGGAGGGGGAAACAAGTGGGTTGGGGGAGTTGAAGCATCCCCTTAGCGGGAAGTGCAAATGAGGGAATGAACTGCCAAGTGCCTGAATTTTGATAACATGCTAGGAGGAGCATTGCAATGGCTGTAACCTTGGGGACTGAGCATAAGTACTATTTATTCAGCACTGTAAGTTTGAATGGTCATTAAATGAATGATCATAACTTCAGGACTACCAGTAAAAAGAGACTGCAAAGGTGACAAAGGTGACAAAGTGAACCCCAAAGTACCCAGGCAGCAAACATATGATGGGATAAGTTGAAAGAGAAAAAAGGAATCAAACTATATTAAGTTTGAGAAATATTTTAGTTTTGATCTGTGCATTACAGGAATATTTTAAAGTGTTAGTTCATTTTTAAACTTCCTGAATGCTAAAATATTGGTCCCACTTTTAGTAATCTCAAGTTTACATCTATTAAAAATAATTAGAGGAAAACATATTAGCATTTTTAATATTTAGCATTAGAATAGTTTAGTAAGAGAAATCTTAGCATCCTTAATTTTACACTATTTACATAATCTTTCCCACCTCATAAGGTTCTGATAATTTTTTCAAATTAATCATACTGGAAAAGAGAAGATTTGGGGATAAAATATTCATATTGAACTTCTTAAATTATTTGTTAAAATATATAATCTTTCCAAATAAAAAAATATTTAAGCAATGAGAATTTGCTTTAAAGTTTCACCTCTTTTGTCACTTTCCTGAGAGATGTTTTCATATCATCTTTATTGGAAACATGCTCCAGATCTTCTAGAGGGAAGGCCTGAGGTATAAAAGAGAAAGTAAACCAATACTCAAGAGACCTGGTTATGATAAATATATAGTATTTGATGTGTGACATCTTTCTAACAGTGATACTCTTAAGACTTGAGGAGAGGAGAAGTTATCACATCTGTACCTTATTCTCCTCCAAGGTATTGGAACCTATGTGGGGGTGATTATTTTATTGTACCTGAATTTTGTTGAAACCAGTACCAGGACTAAGATAATCCAATATACAGAAAGCCCTCACCTATGACCACAATTATGACTGGAATCTCAGATGTTGAGGGAAGCAGAGAAACCTACATGACGTTCAGAGACTACAATCCAGGCTCTCCCAGTTGCGGTTGTTAAGCAATCACACTGGCTGTTAAGCAGACAGACTAAAAGAGTTGCCTGCCAAAGAAGGATCTTTCTGCAACCCATTGCAGTATTTTCCCTCCCCTCCATACAAGTAATGGAACTAATGTGTGGGCTGCAGAAAAAAAAAACTTAAATCCCAAAGATCCAAGCTTCATTTCTGTTGTCACTACAGGATTTCCTCTCCCCTCCAAGCATCCTTTCTGAGGCCATTGCACTTTCAAACTTTTCTTAAATGACCAGTTGTAAGTCGAGGATTACCTGTAGTATGGAGTCAGGACTTTAACCAAGAGAATCATTCAACTTTGCTTTCCTTCCTTCTCTTGAGTTACACCATTCTACATTAACAGGGTAATGGAAACATAGGTTTCTGCCTGTTCTGAAAATGTTCAACTCAAAAACATGCTGATGCTTCTTGCTCATGAATCACAGCATGGACACGCCTACATCTTGGTTGAAAAAAGATGGAAGAATTTATCTCCTAAGCAATGCACAGAATGGAGGGATACAATAATCTGCAGTTGAATGAGACAGTACTGAAGTTTTGGAGCTTTGCAAGTAGGTGTGGATGGTGGCTAAATTGTCTTGGCAAGAGACAGACTAATCCACAGGTGTCAAACTCGCTGTGTCAGGTGATGTGTCATGACATATCACAACTTTTTTTGCATTGCCGGAGCTGGGGTGGGTGCGGATTCTGTATGATCTAACCAGCCTACGGGCCGGCAGTTTGATACCCCTGGACTAATCCATCTCCCATTCTTAATGAGGATGTGTCATTAAAGATTCAAAAAGTGAAATTAGCAGTCCCACTGTCAAAAACAGGCCAAGAATTGTCAAACTAACAGACCTTCACAGGAAATAAAAGATCATTAAGAAAGGACCAGCACTTTATTATTCTTGCAAGGTTAAAGACTTTCAGATAGTTCTAAAGTAACTTGATGGTGCCTTAATAAGAAATATAGTCTATTAGTATGCAATTGTGGCATAAAATGCTGGAGAACTCAGGAAATAGTTCACACCATTAAAAACAAAACCCAATAATATATTTTGAGGGGTTCCTCTGTGAGTTCAGCTACTGCCACTGCTTCTCAAGTTCAACACCTCAGGTTTTAAAAATATTTCACTACTTCTAGTTGGAAGAAACAGCTTTATTGTACAACAAGAAAGGTTGTTGCTATTGTTGTTGCTGCTGCTGTTTTTGAATTTCAAACCTTCCAAAATCCAACAAGGCAAATGCAGAAGCTGAAACTTCAGCTGTGAGAAAGTGTTGGCCTGGACAGTAATTACACTATTTGGCCTCACAAGTAGCCTTTTCAGCACAAAGAGATTAGAGAACAAATATGTGACATACTGTACCTTCTTCATTTGTTCTCGGTTTATGGTAGATAAAACGCTAGTGATAATACGAGGAGAAAGACCACGGAAAAGACCCATTTTCCCATCCACTTCCACAATATGCCTGGCTAGAGATAATAAATTACACTGAAGTTATTTCAACATGATTCTGCAAAATCCCTAACATTCAGATGACTGGATATATAATAATGCATGCTAGGATTTAAACTATTCACTGACACTAAGATGGTAAAAAGTATAAGAAAACCTTTTTCAACTATTATTTCAACTGTGATTTTAAGAATTACATTGGATTTTATAGTGTTAGGTCACAGTATGAAGATTCCTTTAACTCGTGCTTAGCTATGTTGTCTCTTTCCACCCAAAAGGATTAGATTATTATCTGCAAAAATTTTGAAAGGAATTTTATAGAGTTTAAGATACTTAAAAACTTCAGATGGTTGGAGAAAGAAGAAAAATGCCCTAATATGTTATAATGCTGCAATTGCTTACTATTATACTTGCAAAACTAAAATTTAGCTAACATGAAAGTAAATTTGATCCCCTAAATATGCCTTTTTTATGTTTATAAGAAAAACTGTTTCATTAAAACAAGTCTTCAAAATTATTATAAAATAGTATTATTTAAGAGTTCAATCATATAATTATTTGACTTGGTTACATTATTCTCATTAGACCTACAGACAAATGTATGTATTTATTAGGATATGCTCACCATATGTAAAAAATCCAGGGAAGTAAAATACTTTCCTCCCCAGTAAATTTCTCCCAATAGTTGGAGGTAGGGGCTCATGTCCAACCTAAAAAAAAATGGAAAAAAGTAACACCAGTTTCTTTACAAGTATCTCCACCCAGTGAACTTTATCCATAGCTTTATAGCTCAGATAGGGGTCACTCCTTGTTACTCTCAACTCCTACTCTATTCATTTGTTTTTTAATTTCAAATTGACTCCTAGTGATTGTGTGGACTAGTCCCTGTAGTTTTCTTGTGGTTTACCATGGCTATCTTCCCAGGGCTGAGAGAGTGATTGGCCCAAAGTCATCTGGTTAGATTCATGTCTAAGGCAGAGAAAGAACTCATGGTTTCCCAGTTTCTAGCCTGGTGTGCATGCATGTATGCACACACACACACTTTATTTATAGGCCCAAAGTACTGGTAATTCTTTTGTGTTTTTTTTCTTTTTGCTAAATGATATACTCAAGTCCAGACAATTCGGAAAAAAGAACACCACACACATTGTAATTCTATTGTTTGCATTGAATTAAATATTTCTGAACCAAAACACATTAATAAATATGCTTGAGAAGAACCACCAGTAGAAAAGCATCTTCTCTACAGTTCCAAAGGCAGGGATGCCTATTGCTATTATCTCATTGTTATTTGAAGTACTTAATCAAAAACAAAAGGATCACACTGCTACAGTAAATCTCAGGGCTCAAGGTAAAAGTGGCAATAAAACACCAGAAGAAAGCCATGGCAAATTACTTCGTATCATTCACCCACCCACATCAAATTACAGTAACAGATCTGTTAGGATCTGTGAACTCCTCTTTTAACCCTCCCAAGATTAATGCTCCCCCAAAGTCCACCCAACTTAAAGCTGCCAATTTTTTTTAAAAGACTTTTTAGAAGCAACTAGTCTAAGGAGCCAAATTCCTTATGGTATCTGTGAAAGCACCAAAGAGGAACTGTAGGGAAATCGGCACCTCTTTCACAAAGAGGTGCCCTTCATAACAAATCACCCACAGACCCCAGGAACAAAGAGTTAAGCATCCCCCAAGAACTGTCTTCGTGGGGCGTCTCGCACCTCAGCGGTCGCCCCTGAACTATTAGGGCTGCTACTCCACTCCACAGGTTCCCACACACCTAACAAGCCATCTTCTGCCCTTCGAAACCTGCATTGGAGGATTGCCCCCAAACCGCACCTGCACCAGAAGCTTCACGTAGAGCAGCGGGTGGCTGAGCACCGTGAAACCAGCGCTCAGTGCTACGAAAAGAGCGTCCGCGCCTTCAGCCGGACCGGGTCCCATTCTCGGTCCGGCGGGAGTAATCCCAGGATTTACAGGGATGTCAGCCATTCCCCCCGCCCGCATCCAACCAGGAAGTGCTCTTCTGCGGTCACTTGTCCAGACGCTTTCGCGTCATCACATCTCCCAAAACAAACGCCCTATCGCATGGAGGAGCTGGCTTGGCCCGGCCTCCTACGTAGAGACAAAAACAGTTAGAAAGGCGAATGGCAAATCGGAACACGAAACGAGGGTAACACTATCGCATTTCCATCCTCTTGCGAAGAGAACCGGAAGATTGTGTGTATCGCTGTCTCGCAGGAGCGAGCTCGACCATGGGATCTTTCTGCTATATTTACTCAGCTGAAAAGGAAGAGCAATCTCGTTCTCGTCTTATCCTTCCCTATAGATCCCGCCCCCGGGTGGATTGCGAACTCTCGAAAGAAAGAAAGAAAGAAAGAAAGAAAGAAAGAAAGAAAGAAAGAAAGAAAACAATCCCTGCAGTATCTGCATTTTCCCGCGTCTGTCCTCCAAAGAGAAAAATGTATACTTCGTATCTTCTAATGTATTTGACTTGTGTTTGGCCTTAGTATTCCAACGAACATTTATTTTTTTGAATGAAAGTGATTTTTTTTTAATGTCCTCTTTTGCAGACTGAAACTACAGAGCAACGTGCTGCAAAATGATTTGCCTGGCGCCCCAGTTCCCCCTGCAAAGTTCCCCTTCGCTTGTGACAAAATCAAGTCTGGCGACTTGACCTCGTCCCTCGTTCGCACAAGTCTGGCTGATCTCGGAAGCTCCTCGCGGTCAGGACTGACTCCTGGGAGCCCGCTTCCACTGGAGTGGAGACGTAAAACACTCCAGCGGAAGCGGGCTCCCAGGATATAAGAAGCCGAGGGGACACCCATTTTTTTTTATTTTTATTTTTTTGCCTAAGGTGCTTTTTCACGAGGCTACTGGAGTTTTTCTTGTATTTTCTTTGAAGACGTTTCGCTTCTCACCCAAGAAGCTTCTTCAGCTCACAAGCTTCTTGGATGAGAAGCGAAACGTCTTCAAAGAAAAAACAAAGTCCAGTTGCCTCGTGAACAAGCACCTTGGGGATAACTATGACCTGGATAACTGAGAATCTCCATAGACATTTTTTTTTTTTGGCCTGGATAATTTGTTCGAAGCGATCAGCCGGATGTTGAGTGCGTTTTGCCTTAGAGTGTTCATTGGTTCTGAACACTTGAACTGAAGCAGAGCTCCTGCCGCGCCGCCTGAAAATCACTGAAACTTCAGCCGCCTGGTGGTCCTTCGAATAACTCAGCTAAATTTGAACCCGCTCTTTGTCTACCTTCCTCTGTGTAGCATCGCTGAGAACTCGTAGGTTGTGACTTTGTGACAACGTGCCTAAAGAGGGGAAGAAAAAGACTAACAAGAACCATTTTTTTCCTCTCTCAAGCACTCTTTCTTTTTTAGTGTTTCTTAAAGTGTAGTCCCCCGAGACCCTCTCAGGAGTCTGCAAAAATTATTTGTCAGATATTAAAGTCATCTGCAAATAATAAATAAATATAACTTTTCTCTTTTTTTGTTAAAAATATTAGGTTTTTTTTAATGAAAAACAGTTACGTTAATATCTACCGGTAGTCAGTTTAATAGTGTTTTATTTTTACATAACTCGATAAATATTTTATGAATGCATTGGTTTTACTTTTTAATAAATGTTTAATATACAGACAAAAGCTCTTTTAGGGTCTTCCATAATTTTTAAAAGTGCAAAGAGTCCTGGAGAGCAAAACATGTAAGAATTAATGTTTTAAAGTAGTAAGACAGTATGTTAAAATGTTAATCTTTGCCCTAGATATCCCAGACTGATCCCTGAAAGGACATCTGTGAAAACTGATTATATTTAACAATATAGAGACAGTGACATTTTTTTTTTGCCATCTTCCCATTGCTTCCTGATTTAAGATACTTGTTTGAAATATTGTTAGGATACTATATAAGCTGTGAACTGCTAATGACATGCCTTCAAGGGAGAGTAATGACACCAGATATATTGTAGAAGAAATGTTGCATTTCACCACAAAAGGGGCAAGATGACAGCATAACACTGCTTGTATGAGAGTTATTCACCATCTGTGTGCCGAAATCATAGGAGGGCTGTGATTAGCAACATAGTAACAATGTAGTAATAATGACAAGAAGCAATTGCTAGATCACACCATAGTGGACAATTTTCATCCAGCATCGATTCTTCCTTTTTTAGAGAAGGTTGTGAAAAAGGTGGTCATGAGGTGGCTTCAGTGGACCCTGGACGAAATAGATAATTTGAATCTTGCTTATCAGAATTCATGCATGGGCATGGGACAGATATGGCACTGGTCATGCTTTTGGATGAAGCAAAGTGGGGGTAATGCATCCATCCTGGCTCTTCTTGACCTCTTGGCAGTTTTGATACCATTAATATAGTAGTATCCACCTGGATTGGCTCCATAGAGTCCGAGTGGGAGGCCCTATACTGAACTGATCATTTCCTTTCTATGGGATTGATACTAGTCAGTGTTGATTGGGAGTGAGCAGTCTACCCTCAGTCCCTCCTTTGTGGAGTCCATAGGGTTTGATACTCTCTTCACTCTAGGTTAACATCTATGAACATGAAGCTGTTGGGTGAGATCACCATCACTATAGGGTGAGCTATCATCAGTATGCAGATAATAATCATAAATCTCCACACCCATTGAGCTAAGTAATGCTTTTGAAACTCTGTCTTGGTTCCTGGAGTCTGTGGGAATCTGGATGGGGAGCAATAAGTCTCAACTGAATCCTGGCAAGATTGAGTGGCTTTGGGTTTCAAGGCCTTTCAGATCAGGGACTTTATCAACTTTAGTATTAGACAGAACTGCTAGCAATCTGGAGGTCTTTTTGAACTCACAACTCCTGCTTGAGGAGAAGGTAAAAGTTGTGACTAAGATGACCTTTGCACAAATTTGTGCTCCAGGTGCACTCATTCCTGAAATGGGAGGCTCTACTTACAGTTGCATATGCCCAGGTCACCTGCCAAATAGACTATTGTAATGTGCTGTATACAGGGCTGCTCTTGAACAGTATCCAGAAGCTTCAAATGGTGCAAAATGCAACAGTGTGAGCAGTCATATGTGCCCCTAGAACAGGGCTTTTCAACCAGTGGTACGGGTACCACCTGTAGTACATTGGCACCTGGCAGGTGGTATGCGACCATCCTAGAAAAGTGGTAGCGGGAGAGGGAAATGAGCTGAACCGGTGGCAGCACCGCACAAGCCTGAGCCAGAGATGGCTGGAGCTGCAGGACTGTCAGGGCTCAGCGGAAGCGCCAGGATCAGCATTTCTTCAGGGCTGTCAGGGCTCAGTGGAAGCACCAGGATTAGCGCCAGGCCCCAGAAGAAGCACCGATCAGCTGGAATGTTGCAGCATCTCCAGGGTCTTGTGATTTACAATCAGATGCTTGGTAACTGATTCATATTTATGATGGTCACAGTGTCCCAGGATCATGTGAAGTGACTAAAATCTGCTGCAACCACCCAGCAGATGGGGGGAATAAAAACCAAATATGCCCCCACCCCACCCCCACTGCCAATCCTCAACAGAAATGCTCATAACAATGAAAACCTTGGACAGAAGGAAGAGCGCCACCGGGTGGGCAGGCGTCTTGCTCCCCTGTGGCTTGGGGGGGCACTTTTTTCAGTGCCATTGTAACTTCGAACAGTCACTAAGCGAACTGTTTTAAGTCGAGGACTACCTGTACTTTATCACTTTTTTCCTTTTTGGGGGGGGGGGGAATGAAGTTTTTGACTTGCTAGGTGACTGGTGGTACTCGGATATTGCCATATCCTAAAAGTGGTACAATGGGTGAAAAGGTTGAAAAGCCCTGCCCTAGAACACACATTAGACCTCCACCCTGCAAGCTACATTGGTTACCAGTTGTGCTATGTATGTTCAATTAAAAGTGCTGCTTTTGAATTTAAGACTCCATGATATGGGACTGGGTTATTTGAGGAACCACCTCTCTCTGGTTACATCTATCTGTCCCATTAGGTCTGGCAGAAGGGGATGTTACAGGTCCCATCTGATGGTACCAGGAGATGAGTCTTTTCTGTTGTGACACCTGCCCTTTGAAACATCATTTCCCCTGAAATGAGATCAGCCCCAACCCTTTTGAATGTCCAGAAACTTCTTAAAACATTTTTTTTTCTCCCAACAGGTTTGGTATTCCAGGGTAATGGGGATCCTATAAGATGGTTATATTGTATGTGACATTTTGCGGCAATCTCCTGGGTTTTTTTTAATGTTATTGTTTTTAATGGTTACTTAATATTTGTTTTAATTGTTTTATTGTACACTGTCATGAATCACATCAGTGAGGTGAGCTGTTATACAAATTTGATAAATAGCAATATATAATTGTTATATCTTCAGTTCTTTAGGCATTGAACGAGGCAGAGTGTTGAAACAGCAAACAAGTTTATTAACTCAGAACAGAAGTAGCCCTAAAGGCTGCTGCACAGCTATTTATACAGTTAGCCTCTAGGTGGCAACCAATAGGTTTAAAGCAGGCATGTCAAACTCGCGATGTCATGTGATGTCGTGCAACGTATTGGAGCTTTTTCGCCATTGCCGGTAATGGAGTGGGCATGGCTCCGGTATGATGAAACCGGCCCGTGGGCCGGCAGTTTAATACCCCTGGTTTAAAGTAACAGTTTCCCACCCCAAACCTCATTATCAGCTTGGAGACAGCCAGTCTGGCTTTCAGTAACAGCAACTGTTAAACAATACAGCAATGTAGTCAGACATTAAGCAAGTGATTTAAAACAGTTGTGGCCATTACATTACAATAATAGTAATAGAAACTATTAGCCATCCAAACCATATTTCCTCACCTCATTTCAGTTTTGGCTTACATTATCTATTGCTATTCCATGATAGTTCTGTATTTCTCAGCCTGGCATTCCAATCTGAAAAATGGGAATAAGCATGTAATTTTTTTTTTTTTGTAAACAGTTCTCAGCTTCCTTCAGGAAAATGGTTACAGTTTTACTTTTCAGATTGTTAAGATTTAATTCTTTCCCCATATTTTCATCTTACAACACAACTTCAATTAGAATGCATTGGCGCTTCTTTGTATACTTTATATATACTATGTTCCTTTGTCATACCACTAATTTAAATTCTGAGTTATTTTTTTAGTGTTCCTTATGAGTAGCTTCACTCTAAAAAGAAAATCTATAGTGTCAAAAGTACTCACACAGTTCTGTTAGTAGACAATTCAATAATTAATGAATTGTCTGTCTATTCAGGCTGTCATGTAAACAGTGTATAAACCCTGAAATAGTCATATGATGCACCCCTGTGTTTAGAAGATTTAAATATTCATGTATGAAATCAATGTCTGGATTTAAAAGATAAACTGAAAAACCCTGTAAAAACCTATTTAACATATAGGCATGTGTAATTAATTCTGCAACATGGTTTGCCCAGGCAAGCTCTTCTGGTGGCATTGGGTTTTATATAAATTTGACAAATAAATAAATGAAAGCTTAATAATATAAAAGAACCATATCCATGAATCAAGATAGAGCCAATGATAAATGAACAGAAAAGTTAAATGAATTATAATTAATACAAAATATCTTTTGTGAAACTCTGCAACTTGGTCTTTTCACTTACAGTTCTGCCTTCAGTACTTCCTCATACATTTTCTATTTATAGAAATATTTACAAGAAGCTTTTCTTGTCTCACAGTGAAAGAGACAATTTGTAGATTGTTCACTTGGTTATATAGTCCTATCAGTTTTTTTAATGGAGCTATTTCTCAGAAAAGTTCCAAGTAAGAGACCATAAAGAAGAATAAGGATGATGGAGGAGAAACAGAAGCTTCCAGAAGCCTCAGTGGTCAACCTGGTGCATGTATTTGAGAACTTCAGGTACAAGGGATTTGGGGAGCTGTTGTAATGTCATGGTTGAAGGCCAGATATATAAGAGCTCATATAATGGAAGACTGAAATACAGGATTTATTATATTACCACTTAGGAGAAAATGCTTTGAAATATCTGTATAGTCAAGAGAATTGTGGCTACACAAATGCAGCTTTCCTCTTTGGAAAAGTGTTAAGGATTATTTTTCCTTGATGCCTTAAAACCCAAAACCATGGAATGTAGATCTGCATAAAAGTTATTTAATAACTCAGGTATATGAGCATAATAAAGATTTGATATGAATGCTGTTTAATAATTAGGTTAGAATCAACCTTATTTGATTTTGAATTGGGCTTCCCTGCTATGAAAAAAGGTATATTCAATGTGTTTTATTTTTTATGGTATGGTTTCCAAATCTGTCCTAAATTTTCTGTTGCCTTATAATAGAACATTATATTTGGAAACTTTTTTTCTCATACTTGATGCTGAGATACTTTTATTTCTCAACTAACTAGAATTTGCCATGGAATTAGCTGGATTTTTAGTCTTTTTATTCAAATACTTTGCTCAGATTCTTTGAATATTCGGGAGAGAGGAAGAGGAAGAGGTCCAAGAACAACAACTATAATGCTGTGCATGAAGAATGGGATAGCAAAGTTAATTCCTTTGCTACCATCCAATGGTTGTCTGGAGTTTTGTAAACTAGATCTGGTATCCAGGTCAAATGGATTGTTGAAATTTTATTATATGACTTGGGAATCTCCATTTTTATGTATCTGGTTTGGCTGATCTGGAACCCTCTGAGTACATTTCTCTTGTTGATTGTGAACTATGGTTTTCCCTTTAAAGTGAAACTTTCTTTGGTAAAAGGAAATAATTACTGATCTTGGGAAAAGTTGAGGAAGCTTAAGTATGTTATGAAGATTGTGAAACAGAAAAGAGGATGTAGTTTTTGATAGTAACACTCAGTTTGTAAAAAGAAATGCAGCTTTATTTTTGCATAGGCTGGTATTATCTATAACAGGGGTCCCCAACCCCCGGTCTGTGGACTGACACCGGCCGGCAGCATGCCAGCAACTGGGCCACACAAACAAACCCTTATTCATGGGATGCAGGCAGCACATGAAACCACACTCCCTCTGGTCTGTGGAAAAATCTTTCTCCACAGAACCGGTCCCCGGTGCCCAAAAGGTTGGGGACCTCTGTTCTATAAGAGACATAAACAGAAAATCTGATGACTACTTAGAGAGGAAGAAAGAGAGGAGAGTGCATTGCTGAGGATCTTACACCCCATATCAACGATTCTTTCATATTGTAAGGTTGCATTGGGAATTTGTTAGATTCCTTTCTTATGTTATTTAGCTACATTCTTTCATTTATTCAGAAGTAAGTCACAATACATGGCATCAAGTAAAACTTAGTTCTAAACTGGATAATGCCTCACTAAACTTGATGAGACTTAGGTTTGTATAGATAATATAGACTCGTGCTTTAAACTAATGTAAACATTTCCTGGAATTAATAATCAATGTTATTAACTACAAAAATGACATAATTTCAAATACAGATATTTATGAAATTACAGACATCAAAAGTGATATTAAATAGTGTTCTACATGCTACTTTCATTTAAATAATACCTGCTACAATGCATGTGGACATTATTACAATTATTTATATCCTACTTTTCAGCATAGAATCCTACCAGCACATATCTGTAATAATGACAAATTTCCATATCATGCCCTACATATTTTGCCTTAAAACATTAGAGACCCATCTGTAGTGCATCTCAGGGCTTAGCAATTTTTTCAGGTGTTAGATATTACTTCATGATGTGAGGGGGGGGGGACACAAGCAACCAATTAATTAATGGAAGTTTGCTGAGTGACTTTTGGCCAGTCACTCTCTGTCAGCCTATCCTTCACAAAGTTGTTGTGGGGGGGAAAAGGAACGAAGTGGTGCAATCTATTAAATTTTGAACTCCTGAACAAAAGTCTAGATATAACCAGATTTACTGTAAGCATGTCTACATATTTCCCCTCTCATTATGGCTCTCATGATAGGTCTGTGTTATAATGTGTTAGGCAAGATTATTGAAGAGATTGAGGAAGGTCAATTTACTTATATAATGTTCAAGGGTTTCTGCAAATTTCATTTTGTATGATTAAAGAAACAACAGACATTTATGGATTTTCTGTGCCAACTGGAGATTGGAGCTGTTTTTCTGAATTCTAGAACCCAAAACAAGCTGGATGGGCTTCTCCTTGGATTACTATGAAAAGGATTGGATTACTTCTGCAGCCAAAGATCCAATCCACAAATAGACCAGAAACTCTTTGCAAAGTTGCATTTCAAGGATTATCAACAAAGAAGAAACAATAGCCTTTTCTGCTTTGTTCCCTTTTGATATCCAACAGTCAGTGGGTGAAATTTTCCTATCTTAGCGACAACATGATTCCTGCATATCATGACAAATCATAACTCCAGTTGCATGTTCAAAAGTAGTAACCCTAGGTGAATATATGTGTGTCTCAGGATAATGTTGCAGGATCCAATCTGGGTCGTTCACCGGGACCTCAGAGGTTTTGCCTTCTGAACTTTTGGACTCGTGCTGGAGCCCATCCTCAGGGAACTTCTGTTTAGCAGTAGTAATCCTATCTATGCTATTGGCCTCTATAACATTTCCTTGATGTTTAAATTCTAACCAAGTATTTAATTCTGCCTTTAAATGAATACTATTACACTGAATATGCATATTAACTTACATAAAGGCATACCTTTTCTGTTTTTGTTTTGGGCATCCCTTTACTTTATTTTGAAGAAGTAAATGAAACCGGACAAATTTCTAAAACCTTTGTTTTTCTGTGGACAGGCCCTGTTGCAGTCCTGAGAAAGAGCACATCCTTCCCCAGTCTAGGTTACTAACAACTCCAAGTCCTATGGTACCTTCCATGCTGCCATCGGTGACAGGTGAAAGAGCCATTAGAGACATTAAGAAAGCTTCAGTTATACAGCCTGGACAGGTGCACTGTGACGCAGAGTCTTTAGAGCAGCAACAGCAAGCTCCTAAAATGCTGCCTGTCAAATGTCTCAGCTCTTTTCGAGGAAAGATCACTGTTGGCAGTTGGAGGCCAAAACAAGTCTCAGATTCTCAGCCAAATTTCATCATGCAGTCTGGAAGCAGCAAGAATCAGGTAATAGGCTATACCAAGGCACTATTGATATTATGTACAGATTCTCATATTGTGATCTGCAATTTATGGATAGTCCATATTCTTTGGATGCTGTGTAGAAAGGCTGTGGAACAATCAAGAATATTTTAACATTAGACACCAGGACAGTTTTGACCAAAATCAAATTATTGAGCTGTTTCATATTTGTATTGGTAATACTGTAATATTTGAGAAAAACTGATATTCCACTATAAGTTGTATAGCTGTCCTATTTTACAACAATTTATAAAAGGCTCATTGAAATTCACTAGAAATTTCAGATATTTCATGAAGAAAAACAATTATCATTGCTACTGAATTACTGCGTTGGTGATACAGTCTCAAAAGCTGCAAAAGTTGCCTATCATGGCTAAAGATCTCTCTCTCTCTGAATCAAAATATTTTAAATGATTATGAATCATAGGTTTCCAAGCCTGTTTCTGCTTACTCTGTATTCGTAGGAAGCAGAGGAGAAAAAAATAGCTTTGGAGCTGCTGGAAACCGAACAGGCTTATGTGGTTCGCCTTCATCTTCTAGACCAGGTTGGTTGGCAGCAGCATTTCAGCTTTCTGATGTCCACTATCAAAAAGCTGAAAATAAACTACTTACCTGATTATTATTTTACTTAATAACAATGCATGAAGAGATAATAAAATTGCCTTCTGGATATTTTCATCCTGTACAACTCATTTTTAAAAAATTCAACAAATCCCGGATTTCTGTGGCAACTAATTTTTAATACTTCAAAAATCCAAAAACTTGTCATATAGTAAAAACAGCCCTTTCTGATATTCCACTGTCAAAGTAACTCCTAACTATTCTCCTAATGGAACTATATTGATTTGGAAAATTATATGAAAAATAAAAAGCCTATCTGTTTCGGTTTCAGATGACCTTTAATTACTATTTTAGTAATTATAACTACTATAATATTATATTATAATGATAACAATTAGTACTTTAATTACCATAAGTTTAGAAAACGTTAACCCAGATTATCTCTCTTTTTTGTTCTTTTATGTTGTGCTTTTAACATCTAGGTTTGCAGGGAGAGACCTTGTTGATTCTATTGATTTTACAGAAGTTTCTGCAGGAGACTTTTGGGTTGAAAAGTAGGGCAAAGCACCACAATTAAAACTGTGTTTCTTTGTTGACTGAAAATGTTCTTTACAGGTTTTTTTCTCAGAGCTAATGAAAGAAGCCAGAACTACAAAGGCATTTCCCGAAGATGTAGTAAAAATGATCTTCTCTAATATCTCCTCCATTTACCAGTTCCATTCCCAGTTTTTCTTGCCAGAGCTGAAAAAGCGCATGGAAGGCTGGTAAGTTATGAAATCAGCCTGCTTGGTTTTTTTGGGCCACTACTTTCCTGGGAAAATACAACAAATTTAATAGCTTGTGGAAAGTTAGCCTATTCAAGTAGTTTAAGCTTGAGTCACTGAGAGTTTTATCTGAATACTTTGTCCAATCTTGAAAAACATGTGATGTATGGAGAAGGTTGTGTTATGGTACATAACACAACCTTCTAACTGAGTTTATTTTTATATGTATATATAATTTTATTAAGAATTTCAGTTATAATAGTTAAATCTAATACAAATTAAACTTAACGAAAAGAGAACAGGAAGAAAGAATAAAAAGTGCAAGAAAAAAGAAAGAAAATAAATAGAAAAGAATTTAATAAAGAGAAGACAAACATATCAAATGTGGCTTCCAACCATCTTCACTCTCCCTTTTTTATCATCTCTATCTTGTCAGATAAAATTTGTTCTACATACAGTATGTCATGTTTTCAACATCATCTTTTGGACATTGTCTATCCATTATTTCAGACAATGTTGATATTGTGACTTCTGTGTTCTGATTCTATTACTCAAAAATCTTCTTTAATATTTTTATTCTTATAATTTTCTGCATCATTTTACAGTTTTGTAAATGTTTCCTTTGCTTAAAACTTTAATCACCTCTAGTGTCAGTTTTTCAAATTAGGAAATTGCTTATCTTTGTTATGTCTTTTTAAAAACAAAACAATCTGTTTCCCATCATAAGATATTTGTTCTTTATAATTAATAACAAAATCTTATTGTAAAAATTTCATTATTTTAATTTTACCTAGACTTTTAGTCTATTTATAACTTTGTAAAATCAAAATCTTATTTGGTTTTTCCTGTTTATTTCAGATTTGTTAAATTCTTAAGCTTATGGTTAATGTTCTCTTTAATTCAGGATTAAAGGCAGTTGAAAACAATGTTTCATTGTTTTCATATTTGCTCTACCAAAGATCTCTAATGGCTTAGAAATAGTTAATGAGAAATTTCTGAAAGTGATTAGAGGATGAGATTTGCCAATTTAGTACCCTTTAAAAAATTCAGCTTCTATTGTGAGCAAAATGGCTAATCCCATTGTTTTCTGGTGCTTAAACCCACAGAAAACTATTATTCTGCATTCTCTTTACAAGGAGCAGTCATCTGGAGCACATGTGGACCATCTCCTGTCCTCTTTTTATTTGGAGAGGCTCCAAGGCACCAGCCTACCCATTGGTTCTTTGATCTTTGCTATGATCATCAGCTTTACTTTTATAGAACAATCTTCAGTACACCATACGTCCCTGAAAGGCTGACTAGCTGACTTTGTGTTGTTTTCACAGTAGGCAGAGAAAAGAATATTTTGACAAATAGCATTTTGAGAACATTGATACAAATGTATATTATTGATAATATTTTTATTTATTTAATGATTTATTCCATCGGTTTGCATTCTTAAGTTCTATAAAAATAACATCTAGCAACAATTCACTTCTTATGAACATTCCTGTAATGTAATGCAATTCATTGATTGATTATGTGCCATCAAGTTGGCATTAATCCATCGTGACTATTCAGATTTTCTCTAGGATGGAATGTAATAGGTAAGTATTTTTTAGTATTTATCGTGGCACTTTGTAGATTTTATTGATTTACATTACATTCTTATCCCTCCCTATTTATTTTGGTATGGCTTTCCTCTGAATAACCTTTAAGGTGTACAACTCTGTAAGCTTCTGTTCTTAACCGAGCAAGTTTATGTCTGTTTTTAGAGAAATACCTGCTATCTTCAACTCTTGTTACAGGCTCTGAAAAGTGAAATACTGTAGTGGGTAATATAAAAGGTTTCAACAAAAGAGAAAATCCAACACAGATCATTTATTGCCTATTTGAAATATATTTCAAACATATTCACCATCTGAATAAGTTTTTGCAATCTATTGTGATCATTTTTGCAGAAGATTTTAAAAGAAAACCAGTACTGCTTTGCTGGGATATATTTTTCAAAATCAGAAAATTGCTTATTAAAAGATGGGTTATGTTCAGGTTATGAGTCATAATGCCAGTGATAGATGCAGCTGGATATTTCTCCAGGATTCCTAGTCTATTTTAGCCTCTTTTTTTTGCAATTCTTGCTACAGGGATTCCAATCCCAGAATTGGGGATATCATCCAGAAAGTGGCTCCTTTCCTGAAGATGTATAGTGAATATGTGAAGAACTTTGACAAGGCAATGCATCTGATCACTGTGTGGTCGGAAAAAGCCTTGCCATTCCAGGAACTCATCTCAAACATTCAGGTGAAATGGTTTCAGAGCTCATTGTACAATTTGTTTTTTATTCAGACTGGTTTTAATTTGATTAGCGATATATTTGTTTAGGAATATAATCTAGTATGCATATATCTTGTCTGAAATTTCTGGATTTATTGCTTTGAATATGAATATATATATATGTAGGTCTTTGGTTATTCGGGTTTTCTCCCGCGTCAAATTGGAAAAGTCTTGGCGATGTTTCGACGAAGTCTCATTCGTCATGCATTCTGCACAAACAGAAAAATATCCACCATCCTAAGAAACCCCAAAGAGAAAATTGAGTTAGAAAATCAAGGAGTATATGAAATCCCATGCACCGCTTGTCCCACCACATACATCGGACAAACCAACAGAAGAATAAGTGCACGCATTGAAGAACATAAGAATTCAGTCAAAAAAGAGAAACCAACTTCTTCCCTGGTCCAACACCTTAAAGCCACAGGACATGAAATTGACTTTAAAAAGACCAGAACTATTGCCAAAACTGAACACTTTAATAACAGAATAATCAGAGAAGCCATCGAGATAGAAAAACGCCCACACAGCATGAATAAACGAGATGATACCTCCCACCTACCAGCCATTTGGAAACCTGCCCTTATTGACAAACAAGTCCCTAACACAAAGAATGACACCAGATCCACACTCACGAAAACCACACAGGATGTCACCACCACATATCCACGCAAAAAGCAAACCCAAACCCACACCGATGATGAGGCACGACCACAAACCAGAAGCCAGACCACAGCTGCATCATTAGCCACTTTAAATCCCTCCAATCCATACATGAAGCAAACTGACACCCACCATGAAGATGAGGCACGACCACGAATGCGAAGCCAAAAAATAGCAATGCAGTTCACCATTTTAAACCCCCCTGCAACTCAGACTAACCCGAGCACAACAAAGCCCCCACCCAAACAGAACACTCCCCCATCCAATCAGAGCACAGCCAATCCCCTAACCAATCAGAACACACCTCCACCCAATCAGAACACAGCCAAGCTCCCATCCAATCAGTTCATACCCCAACTGGCAGTTAAAAGGAAGAAACAGCTATGATCACACATTGTTCCTAGAAGCACGAAGCCGAAAACACCAGCCTGAAGATGACGAATGAGACTTCGTCGAAACGTTGCCAAGACACTTCCAATTTGATGCAGGAGAAAACCTGAATAACCAAAGACCTACATACAAACACCCACGAAAACCTCAGAAAACAAATACACACACACACACACACACACACACACAAACAAACATTTTCCATGTTCAAGAGCTACTAGATATTTAACCTTTTAGAAAGATAATAAATAGTTTGTTTTCTTCTTTTCTCCATAGAATTAGGAAAGAAACTTCTGTTAGTATTAACAGTAGTTTTCTAAATCTATTCTCTCTGTGCATGTATGATGTTAATCCTTTTCTACTCAATAGGATTCTCCCAGAGAGTCCCTTTATATCAATTACACTTCAAAACAATTTACAATAATTCAAATTATCTTTTCCTTGGCACCAATTCATTGTTTTTTTTTTTAAAAAAAGAAATTGTTACATGTGTTTGTGGGAGAATTATTGTTTGTGGGGAGAAATGACTAAGCCTTCCTTCCACAATTGTGTGTCTTCCCTTTTTGGCTGTGTTCTTCAAAAAAAACAAAACAAAACAAAACAAAAAAACAGTCTGCTGGCTGAAAACTTGCCTTGGTCATGATGCTCTAGAACAGTGGTTCTCAACCTTTTTAATGCCGCGACCCCCAACCAGTCGTAAGTTGAGGACTACTCAACAGGTCGTAAGTCGAGGACTACTCAACTGGTGCAGCACCGTTTGCAGACTGGGACTTTTGGCAGGCTCAGCAGGGCAGAAACAGCCTGGACAATTCCTATTGGCTTTTGAAAGCCAATAGAATTAGACTCTATTCAAGAGAGTCTATTCTATTGGCTTTCAAAAGCCAATAGAATAAAAGGGAGTAGCACAGCTAAGGAAAAGGGGGAAAAAATGGCGGACTGCATTGTTTGGTGACCCCCGTGAAATGGTCATTCGACCCCAAATGGTGTCCCGACCCACAGGTTGAGAACCACTGCTCTAGAAGAGATATTATTTTTTCTTTTCTAACAATCACCTACAATCAAAATATATGGGAGATAGGCCAGGGCTATAGGAACTATACATAGCATCACTTTTGAGAATGAGCCTGCTCATAGGCATGAAGAGTACCTTGAGGTGGTGGCTCCCACCTAGATTGGTACTGTTTGACTGTTGACTTTCTTATAGGGAAAGATGAGGATGAAGTGAAGTTTATTCAGGAGCTGTTTTCCCTTTCATCAAAAGGAGCAAGGCTTTAGAGTGGAAACAGAGCGTTGTAGTCAAGATAGAAAGGTTGTGTATGTGTATGTATACTGTATGCATGGATACTAATGAATCCTTCATTGTCCTGGTTTTGCTTTCTTTTTCTCTTATTGTTATGATCCTGCACAGAAACAGGAAGTATCGGCTAATTTAACCTTGCAGCATCACATGTTGGAACCAATACAGAGAATTCCCAGATACGAACTCCTCCTGAAGGATTATATTCAAAAACTACCTTTGGAATCACCAGACAAGGAAGATGCACAGAGTAAGAGTTTTGCTTTGGTTCCTTCTTTTAGAATGGGAGAAAAAAAGTGAGAGAAAAGTGATCAATCTTGCCTTTGAAATGATGCCTTCTGGTCTCCTTATTGAATGATTTTAGATGTTCATGGTACTGGTGCTCTTTCTAATATGCCATAGTTTGTCCAAACTATTCCTCTGTTGCTCAGTGTCACAATTGCTAGTATAGTATTGGGCATGAACTAACTGTATAAAAGAGTTGTAAGAATACTATTATTTCTTACAGAAGCTTTGGAAATGATTTTCACAGCAGCCAAACATTCTAATGTTGCCATCGCTGAAATGGTGAGTGTCCAGCTGATTAATCATGTCATTCTCCTTCACTATAGGCAGGTATCTCAATAGCTGAGTTTCTGTTTCCCATTTTGTGAATCTTTATTCCCTTGCTACTGCAGGAAAGACTCCAGAACCTATGGGAAGTATATCACAGGCTAGGCCTTGATGATGACATTGTTGATCCTTCTAATGAATTTATTAAAGAAGGACCCATTCAGAAAATCTCTTTCCGGTTCAACAGTACCTCAGAGAGATATCTGTTCCTGGTGAGATATTTTTATTTTATTTATTTATTTCTTAAATTTATTCACCGCTATCTTGCCATGGGGCTGCTCTAGCCAGCTTATTTATTAGGTGTAAAATGATGGAGCAGGAAGATTGTATCAAGTTCCCGATGCTAATGACTGCAGTGATTTACAATCATAATTCCAGGCTCAATTGTGGTCATCAGTCAAGGACTACCTGTAAAAGAATGCACTGATTAGGATCATTGGTGATAAATATTTTCTTGAGGTGTACAGACATCGTCTGAATAATGATTGCAAATATTGTTATGATTATTGTTGTGATTGTTATGTAAATATCAGCTTAGCTTAACTTACTGGAAAGGGTAAGAAAGAAATTGAAGATTGTCTCACTTTGATTTTCTTGTTTATAAGAGGGTGCAGAGAGAAATTCTGTCAGACTTTCAACTTGTTGCTATTAAATAATAGAGTTTCTGTAGTCCTTGTGACGTCTGTTTCCTGACCTCTCTTAACATTGAAGTGATGACAAAAGGTCTATAGAAAGAAAGGGATTATGTTTTTATTCAGTCTTTTATTAATAGCAATTCCTTCTGCTTTTGTCCAACTTTCTTTGTACACAGTGTGTATTTGTGGTTTTGTTTTGTTTTTGCAACTTTTAGTTTAATAACCTGCTATTGTACTGTGTACCAAAAGTCATTCAAGTGGGTGCCGAATTTCAAGTGCGCCACCGGATTGATGTCAGTGGCATGAAGGTCAGAAAATTTCATTGTCTATTTATTTATTTATTAAAGTCAATTTGGAAAACAACTGTGATGACTTTTATGGAAGTTTCCTTTGAGTAAGGTTGGGTAGAGTTGCAACTAGGGCAGAAAATTCAAGAATTCGAAAGAGAGAAGAGAGAGAAGAGACAGAGAGAATGAGAGAGAGACCCCAAAACAAGTAAACTGATAGGTAGGGCTTTGCAGATTTTGAAGATAACTATGCTTTAGAGCAGGGGTTTTTAACGTTTTTATACTACAGAATCTCTTAGTTTAAAATACTTCCCAGAGCCCCTGATCAAGAGGCAAAACTAGTGGCAGAAAATTGGTTGTGTTTGAGTGAACTTAATTTCTCATGGAACTTCATCAAGTTGTCATGGAGAATATAGTTTGAAAAGTCCTACTTTAGAAAATGCAGGGATTGCTAGTCAACACCTCTCTGCAACTCCTTAAAGCAATGAAGTCTTTTCCTTAGGATCACTCAGCTATGCTATATATTTCTTACATACTATCATAGCTTAAATTGTATATGACTGAATGAGCCCTATGAAGTAAATTAGTACGTTCATTTCAGTGCTCTATTTTTTTTCTTTTAGGTTCGAGAACTAAATGATGTACAGTTTCCTCATGCTTTCCTTGTGTCAGGAAAGCAGCGCACCCTCGAGCTGCAAGCTAGGTATTTAAGCCAGAAATGTAGCCCTTTTTGATTCTAGCAAAAGAACATAAACTCTGCTTCTCCAATAAATGGCATCTCTTTCTCTGCAGGTCCCAGGAGGAGATGAATGTCTGGATTAAGGTAGCCATTGATGCAATTTGTTTTTTTAAAGCTTAGGGAGCATTCTGGCCAGGCAGGAAACCAAAATCCTTTCAGTAAGTATAATGGGTTATGAGAATAACCTTGAGAGAAGAGGAAGGGGAGCTGCAGCCTAATCAATAGTCTCATAAGAGAAATCTGGATTGAAAACAGAATTTTTCCTCCCTAGTTCTCTGAAATTACAGAAGGGGGGGGGGGAAGAATTTGGAAGCTAGATTGTTTTTGAGATATAAAATCTTGGAGAACAAACCTTTGCCCTCATCCTACACCTGAGATATTCACCACTATTGCAAATATAAAATCTCCTTTAAGTCAGACTTCATAGACATATGATTGTGGTTTTCTGAACAGCAATGTAGAAGTGACTTATTATTGCCCCTCCCTCTTTAATTTCCCAACTTTGGTATTTCTTAAGTGTTCTCTCATCCAAATCCTAACCATATCCTTCCCTATTTAGCTTTTCAAGATAAGGTCAGTTTGATGCTACCACATAGCTATGCCTTAAGAAGAGATCCACAACTGATGCAGTATCCTTCAATATAGAACAGTGGTTCTCAACCTGTGGGTCGGGACCCCATTTGGGGTCGAACGACCATTTCACGGGGATCGCCAAACTACGCAGTCCGTCATTCCCCCCCCCCTTTTCCTTAGCTGTGCTACTCCCTTTTATTCTATTGCCTTTTGAAAGCCAATAGGAATTGTCCAGGCTGTCTCTGCCCTGCTGAGCCCGCCAAAAGTCCCATTCTGCAAACGGTGCTGCACCAGTTGAGTAGTCCTCGACTTACGACCGGTTGGGGGGTCGCGGCATTAAAAAGGTTGAGTACCACTGATATAGAAGGTACTGATGCTGGTAATTTGTAATTTTGACAACCAGATCAAGACCTTTTGGAACCCCCATAGAGACCTTTAATGGCTCAAACACATTATGTGATAGGGCAGCCCTATGCATTTACAGGGAGATCAGTTTCATTCACATATAAAACGAGTAAAAGAGGTGAGAGCAGAAAGCTCTACAAGGAATTTAAGCCAAGGCTGGGGAAGGTTTTAGAACTTCCCCCTTTATTCTTAAAATCCCCCACCCATATACACTCATGTATAAATCCACTCATGCTTCATCTTTGATTAGGCCAGTCTTAATTTTCAACAGATAGGAGCTGCTATTCACACATGCAAACTGAAACTAAAATCCTTCTTTTCAAAATATTTTCTTCCTCCCTCCCAGACCTTCCAGTCTGCCATCAACAAGAAAGAAAAGAGGAGTGAAACCTTCAAGGCTGCAAGCCAAGGGCAAGAAGCAGAGACACCAGACTCCAGTGTAAATCTCCAGTTACACACCTATTGTGACGCTACCCCATTTGCACTTTAGAGCTACCAATATTCATTTCCTCTGTTAAAACTAGGAGCTCATTTTCCAAAGATCATACCTATGTAAATGTACAAAGACCTTAAAAGTCTCTGATAAAGAAAGGAGAAGGGGAGATGTACAGAAAACACATCTAACAAAATTCTGTCATTATGTTGTAGCTGTCAGAAGTAGACAGCAGTTTCACATTTATTCTAGTCAAGCTACTTTTGAATTGAGGCTGTCACTTTCTGTGGGGCCAGAGGTTGACTGAAAGGGTGGCTTGATTCAGAGTTTCTTTTCTTGCAGCAGGGCCAGTCACAAGAGCTGGGCAAATGGGCTCCTCAGTGGGTAAGAGATAAGCTGGTCACCATGTGCATGCGCTGCAGAGAGCCATTCAATGCTATCACACGAAGAAGGCATCACTGCAGAGCTTGTGGCTATGTAAGTGAGCTTATTTGTTCTCTACCCCCCCCAATTATTTTTGGTACAGAACAGTCAAGATAACTGATAGCTCCTTGTTGATCTGAAGAGCAAATACTAAGAACAAGGGTGATTATGGCTAGTGCAATAGCAAACCTGAAAAACCTTGCCAAGAAAACTGCAGAGACTTGTCCGAGCAATCTCCAAGAAATGGATACAATGAACTTTTTTTTTTTTAAATAACTCACCACATTCAACCTTTTCCAAACCTGTGGTTTTTCTCCTGGAGGCAGGTGGTGTGTGCCCGGTGTTCTGAATACAAGGTTGAATTGCAATATGACAAGAATGGACTCAAACGAGTCTGTGCAGAATGCTATGCCTTCCTACAAGGGAATTTGCTGCCCGTCGAGCAGCATGGGAAGCACAAAGGCATTCTGGAGGTGAGGGAACAGTTGGAAAGTCTGCTTCTTCTCTTTCTCAGGCTTGTTTCTTGGTCTATTGATAACTTGACTTTCTGGGTAGGAATTTTGTTAACTGCAATGATTTCACTGTTGTCACTTTGAAAATACTTATCTAGCAAGCACTTCCCCATCAACATTATCTACACAGAAGCATGCATACATAGCCATCATGTTCTGTCCTTTCAGGTAAGCAACATTATGCAGCATAGATAGGAGAGAAATAGAGAAGAGCCAAAGAAATTAGAAGCCTGAGATACAAAGGGAAAAAAAGGAAACATAGCTAAAGCTACTTTACACTAAGATCATTCAGTCTAAGTCTCCATACTTTTCTATCTTTTCCAATACTCTTGGCTTCCATCAGGAGCATACCTCCTCCCACCTCCATTTGTATGTATTGTTTATAATTGCATATTTATCCATTGCTTGTTATTTATATTGCCTTTTGTTCTTTAAATATCTCACTTCTTTGTCATCAAAGCCAAATATGACTTCCTCAGAGTCTCATCTCTTCTTGAGCCCTTCACTCTTCTTTCATAGGGTTCTTTCATTATTTTTTTTTTACTTATGACCAAACCACTTCAATATACTATATCTACTTGCAGATAAGCTCATCTGTGGATCAGCCAACCTTCAGGTTTTTGTTTTTTTGGTTTTTTCCCCCCATTATATTCTGAAGGGCTTCTTTGTTTTCATATTTGTATCGATAATTTTTTTCCAGAACAGATTCTGTTTTAAATTTTCATAACTGATTTACCTACAGGTAGCACATTTTTCATGGTACTTGAAATGAGGGCCAGATTTATTTGTGGATGGGCTTACCAGTGAATATGTATAGATACTTTTAAAAAGCATCGCCATGTATAGTTGCAGATCTGCAAATAAATTGAACTTAATTTTAGGCTGTATTTTGGAATCTAAAATTCATGCCTTATCCACAAGTATATATGGTATTTCTTTCATGCTTGTTACTCATTGCTGTATTCAGCCTGTCACTCCTACTCCTACTTCTATCACCTTTTTATCAACATTTGCATATCTTCAGATTTCTCCATTGCAGTGAACCTCCTACCATGGTAGAGAAATATATTGCTCTGTTTTTCAGAATTTATAGATCATTTGCAATTGTTCACTCCATTTTCCTTGGCAAACTCAATCACTATAGGCTTCAATAGATTACTTTTCAAATCCATACTCCTTGTTGTATCTAATATTTGCTACAGACATTTGAGTTGTCAACTAACAATTATGGTATTGTGTGCCTACAAAAATTTATCCATGAATACATTAAGCAACAAAAAGGACATCACAGATTCTTGCCTTCCCCTCTGTTCGATGTTGAACACTTGTTATGCATTCCATTTATTCTCATTCTTTATTTCTATCATATGCCACTATAATTATAATCAATCAAACTTCAATTTGGTATTTGCACAAAACGTTGAAGCATATTGACTTTGTCATGTGTTCTGTCTATATTACAAATAGAGAAAAAATTTTGTTTCTCACATTCATACATTTCTCAATGAACTTCTGAAGAGTAAGAATCTTGGTTTGGTACATTTGTTGCTAGATATACTATAAAGCCACACTCCAGTTCCCAAATATTATTTATTATCATCTCTTGTACTATAATCTTCTGATCAGAATTGTCTTCCCAGGCATATTTAACAAACAAACCTGTATAGGTTTTACATTCACACTTGCTACTTTCCCCTTTTTATAGGGGAATGATAATGGCATTCTTCCATTATATGATCACAAACAGATACTAACTTTTCGCATGTTAAACAAGTCACACAGCCATGCCATAAAAATCCCATCTGTATTTTTTACATTTTTAAATAAATAAAATTTCTATTTGCACCATCTTTACCTACAACCTTACAATTTGTCAATGCGACTGCAGCATTTTTGACTTTTTTCACCAATTTTTTCTTGGACAGTAACACTTGTAACATTCTTTCTGATTTCACTCTTCAGTATACCTCTATCATTCCCATATATAGTACATGGTTAAAATATTCTTTCCAGGACTGTCGCACTTCCATTTCATCCAAAATCACTTAATCATTGTTAATTGCTGCAGACTTCTTATTTAGTTTTTTTTATCGCTTTCAGAACATTTTTTTTTATTTCCATCAAAAATTGCTGTGCATTCCCTTTGCCTCTTTTAAAGGTTGTGTGCTCTCTATAACTATATTCTTTGCAAATATTATTTCTCTACATAGACATTATACAAATACCTTTTATCTTCATTCCTTCCAGCACTAATTCTATTATATGCTTTTTTCTTCATTCATGGCCTTTTTCACTTTCCGCTGCCATCAAGCATCCTTTTTAATAATTATCATTACCATATTCTACAGATTTCCTTGGGACCCAGTAATATATTTCTTTTCCTTTTGTACCAAGTACAATATCCTCTTTTTCACATCCACTTTCCATTATTTCTATTGAAAGATTAATCTATTCTTGAACACGTTTTTTAGAAGATTCATTCTCCCATTATCACTAGAGCCTACTAATATGCAGCTATCAACAACCCACGAATGCAAACTTCCTTATGCAACAACCTAAACAACATCAGTTCATACTTTCTGACATGTACAGGTAGTCCTTGGTTAACAATGGGAATTGGGACCAGAATTTCTACCGCTAAGTGACACAGTCATAAAGCATGATGTCACATGACCATGATAGTTTCAGCTGAATGAAATCTCCAAGTTCAGAGGACAAGAAACCTTTTGGGTAGGAGTTATTAATAATGAGGTTAACCATTTGTTTAATTGGCAGAAAGAATCAGCAGAGATATCAGGCCAGAGCCTGATATGTAGTTTTCTGCAGCTGATGGATAAGAATGGAAAAGGGAGCATGCGTGGCTGGTTTGTGATCCCACAAGATGATCCACTGGTGTTGTATATTTATGCTGCACCTCAGGTATGTGTTTGCATAGAGTTTAATATGAAGGAAATTAACAAGGCTTACAAATGAGCTGTTTCCCATCTTCTAGAACCCTCCCCTTTAATAATTAATTATTTCATAATATCAAGCTTGGGTTTATAAGAACATAGAAATTAGTGACAGGAGAAGTTCTCCATTCCAAACTAGCTGTAAGATGTGGTTGTGAATATTTTTCAGCTTCTCCCTTCTCCCACCATTTCCGTCAGCATCGTCTCAGAAAATATATTAGATGGATTAATATGCTCAGGGTGATGTATACCGTATTTTTCGGCGTATAGGACAACTTGGCGTATAAGACGACCCCCGACTTTGGCGCCAAGTTGCATGTCTAGAAAGTTGTCTTATATACCGGAAACTACCGTAATTTCCGACGTATAAGACGACTCGGCATATAAGACGACTCCTGACTTCGGCGCCGATTTGAATGCTTTAGAAAGTCTTCTTATACGCCAGAAAATATGGTATATCATTTGTTTCATTGTTTCCCCCATAACAGGGATCCCTTGAAGTAGGTTGGAACTGAAAGATGGTGACTGGTTTAAAAGCACTCTAGGGGCTTCTGTTGCTAAGGGTAGACCTGAGCTTGGGTCTCCACAAACTTAAATATTATGTAACTATTCTTCTTACAGAAGCCTTCATCCTTCCCAGTGATTTTTCACTTCTGGAAGGAAATCATCCCACCCCAACCTGACAATTTCACATGTTTTGTTGTCACCAAGGCAGGGAAGGTTGAAAAGCAGTAAGAAGTAGAGAGTCCAAGCTGAGCCATGTGCTGAGGTTTGACATGACCCAGGAAGTAATTGATGAGAAACCAAGGTAGAAATCAGAATATAAGACAGGAAGGATGCATACGATCCCAGCACAAAAAAGAAGGCTTTCTATATTTCTGTTCTGCCAAGGAATTTAATATATAGTTCTGGTTAGCCAAATACACTTCAGAGAGGACTGAAAAATCCAAGTTTTAGCTTTGGGAGTTCCTGATCTTGAATAGAAAAATTGAATAGACAGGAATGAAGTAAGCAATTGTTTTATTTATTTATTTATTACATTTATATGACTGCCCCTCTCATAAAAAATTACTCTAGGCCAGACATGTCAAACACAAGATGCGGCCTGCAAAATGGTTTCAGGTGGCCCGTGAAGCCATCCTGGAAACAGTGAGAGAACAGCCCCCTCTGCCTTGGCCCTGGCCCATGTACAATTTTGTAGTAACCATCTATGCTGAAACACATTCATTCTTAGCTCCATAAGCCCCCCCCCCCGCATGGCCTGAGAGGAACAGTGAGGCTCCTTCAGTGGACCATGTCTTGGCACTTGCCCTGGACCCATCCCCTTCTGCCAGAGACCCTCAGATCTATCCCATTCTTGCCCAGGCCCCCACAGGCACCCTTGACGCGAACGATGTAGAGCTGGCCACACCCACCCAGTAGGCCACACCCGCTCCATCCACGCCCACCTAGTAGGCTGCACCCACCCTGGCCACACCCACCCAGCCCCCTGAGGGCAGCCACAATGCTGATGCAGCCCTCAATGAAATTGAGTTTGACACCCTTGCTCTAGGCAGTATACAATAATTTTACTTAACTTTTCCCTACTTAAGCAATAGCAGCCTCTTGAGGCTGTTTTTGGTAAAACAAAATAAACTAAGTTAAAAAGGGCAAAAATAACCCTAGACAACTATGGACAAAACTAGTTTGGGCTTTTATTAGTACAGAATTATACCAGTTTGATGATCACTTTGTTGAGATATGAAATTAGTTATGGGACATTTGAAAATAACTGTATTTGGACCCTTTCCTTCACCTGACCCAGGATGTCAAAGCCTATGCCTCTATCCCCCTGTTGGGTTACCATGTCAAGGAGCCATATCAGAATAATCCCCGTCACATCTTCCAGTTGGTACAATCCAAACAGACCTATACTCTGGTTGCTGAAACTGAAGAACTGAAGCAGCGCTGGATGAAAGCCATTGAACAGTCAGCCAGGGGAGGAGAAGCGGAAGAAGATTCATGTGATGAACTGGAATAATTCAATCTCCTTGTGAGGCTGTTACATACTCTGGACTGCCATTGTAATAAGCACCAAATCTGTGTTTTAAATACATTCATATTTTTCAGTTATTACTTTTCAGTGGTTGCAAATCATAACATTTTTGTCTAGTTGAGATTTTCTTGGCTTACTGGTGAACTATTCAAGTCATAGTAATTGTTGATTTGTCATTTACATTTGCAAATTTGTATTGATAGACTGTCCTGTTCATGTACATATTACATGCTGGTACAAATAATACTTCCTATTCATACATATACCTTTTTTTTGATCTACAGCTATGTCAGGGAAATTATTTTCTGATCAGAAATTCTGACACTGAAGAGTCCTTCCTTCCATCTATAAAAGAAAGGTGAATGGGATCTTTATCCCAATTCCACCTACAAAATATAACCTGTGACAGGGTCGACCTCTCTTTCAGGCCCAAGGAGAAATGTGTACATGGCATGCTAACTTACATTACTTTTAAAACATTTAGATATGTTCATGGAGGTTAAACCTACATTTGATCTTTTGCTATAAGAGCTAAATTAAATCTTCATATTCAGAAAAACAATGTAGAGAAAATGGCAGATGATTCTTTTGTCTGTCAGGCTTTTTTTAGTGAATTTCTAAAGATAGAAATTCTCCAGAAAACTGGAGACTGACTGCTGGCTCAAATTGGCCATGTGTGTACACCAAGAAATGGCCCAAAGATATTTTAGGAGGTTACATTGGTGAACCTGAACTTGTTGAATGTTTCAAACCAGAAATAAAGTTGGACTATCTGAATTCATTTCAACAATATGATAATTACTGCAGATTGCCTAGTCTATTTCTGACATTTCTAAGTACATAATTATTTTATTCTTTAGCTAATTATTTTCTTATTTCTAATCCCTTTCCTTTTCAGGTTAGTAAATCTCTATTTCTTTATTTTTTCAGTCTCAGTCTTACTGGACTTATCATTATGTTGATGGAAGAACCCATTTACAATGGTCTTCAGACCATTTATCTGTACTGTGTATTTTATTGTCAATTATTCAAAATTAAGATATCAATGTTTATCTGATGAACTATTAAATTATGGCAAGCTGAATTTTAGAGAGAAATACAGTTAAAAGTAGTAGTTGTTGAAACTGTTTCCCTTTGATAATTCCATCTATCTTCCACCTTTTCCCAAGGATCAGAGTGACAAAATTTCTCTTTGCCCAACTGCTATTTCCTGGTCCCTTTAATTCCCGTCTCCTTTTAATGTTCTGAAATGGTGTCCATGGCTACTTGAGGTCTTCCTTGACCCTTTCCAAGAAGCTGTTGTATTTTTAGAAAATCTTGATTTTTTTTCTTAAAAAGGAATACTAGAAACTCCAAATGAAAGCACAAACTTCCAACATTTTTTAAAAAAAATACAAGAATAATTTTGTGATCTATAAGCTTTTTGAAGAAGATAACATGGTAGCATGGGTGCAGTTCCATGCTTTATTTATTTGCCAAAGAAAAATATAAGCAAGTTGGCATTGGGAGGGAGCAACTGGGAGGAAGTTAAAGGAAATAGATGGGATCACTTTGTTCTGTCAGGGTTTGTATCTTGTTACCTGACATGTTTTCAGAATTCCAAAATTTTTATCATCTCCAACAAGCTGGAATCCTCCGCTCTAAAACGATTTTTCCCTTCCAAGCTCATTAGCATGTTTTATTATCAGTATTTATTATCTCTATCAGTAGATGATGCTACAGTGACCTTAATCCGATGTCTTCCAGATAGGTTGGAATACCGATCTCAAAATTACAAGGTAAGACATAGAGATTGGGAATTCTGGGATGGTATTCCAACATTTTCAGTAGATGCTATAGTATAAACAAGAAAAAAGCTTGCAAGATAGATACTGTGCATGTCCAAATAATTTAATAATAAATGCTGAAATTCCTTGGTGAACTTTTAGTATGATAGCCCACATCAGTTCATATAATGCAGGTTGTATGTCAAGTATCATGTAACGTGACCTGCCTTGTTCCAGATGTACTGTAAATAGAAAAAGACATTATCATATAATTGCCTTGTAGTGATTTCTCTGCCTTTCTTGACACTATCAGTCAATACATAAATCCAACTTTTCAAAACAAATGGAACTCTTGCAAAACTTCACAAGTGTCAGTGTCTTTTAGTATTACTTTTTTTTCAGGAGGAGTGGCTTTGGCATGAGAAGCCACTCATTTGCCATTTGTCAACCATTGTTTTTCTGATTAGCGTCATTTTATGATTGTCTTTCCCCCAGCCCTTTAACTGGTTTTTTATTTGAAGGTTCCCCCCCCCCAAATTAGAATTACACTACATGAACAATGACAGGGGTAGCACTTAGCTGACCTATGGATTTGTAAGTTAAACAACACCGAGGTTCATTACTGCTTGGACTCCAGATTATGCTAAAACTGCAGGGTAGACTAAGAAACAACAATAATAAAAGACTTAGTGGAAGAAGGCAATGCTACAATCAAGAAAATGGCCTGGACTCATTTGTTAAATTGCTGGAGTCGAGTTTGAACTGAAGGAAACTCTATATTTACTTAAATCAATAAATGCTTGTGGCTTAAAAAAAAAGGGCAGCACCTGGTGAGGCCTATTTGGAAGATTTTGATGTTTTTAACAATAGTGGTGTCACTATAGTCTGATCCTAGTGAAGCCAGGCTCAATATAAAGGAAAAAAAAATGAGAAAAATGTTACGAGTGACGATTAGTGCACATTTTACAAATCACATTTCTTTGCTGAAATCATCTGCCGGCCTGTGGGCCAGATGCATCACGAGAAAACCACGACCACCCCATTGCAGGCAATGGGGAAAAAGTTCCGATACATCGCGCGACATCACGTGAAGTCACGCATTTGACATGTCTGTTTTAGAGGGACAGTTGTACAATTGTGAAGAGAAGGGGTCCTCAGTGGCATCAGAAATATGAACATATTTGTGGAATGTGTTGTGCAGTCTAGGTTTTGTACACCAGGGTGCAGTCTCAGTTGTAAAATACAGAACAGGCAAAAGAAGCCAGTGTCCTTTTGTTTTTGCTGAAAGTAGCAAATCTCATCAATTTGGGGAAGACAACTTTGAAGTCCCAGAGAAAAATATGTGGTGGGATATTTTTGGATAGATTGTTTTAAGTTATAATGTTACAGGGGGATAAGGAGAGGGACATGAAAAATTCTTGCATATTGGTGCTAATTGAAAAGGGCAGAGCTTATCCAACTAGATTTCTCATTTTTCATTATTTCATCTATGTCTGTCTGTCTGTCTATATCATCTCTCTCTCTTATATGTCTGCCTGCTTGCCTGCCTGCCTCTCTGTCTGTCTGTCTGTCTGTCTGTCTGTCTATCTATCCATCCATCCATCCATCCATCCATCCATCCATCCATCCATCCATCACACACACACACACACACACACACACACTCAACCACTTTCAGTCTGACCAGTCTTGCCTGGAAGATGTGAACCCTAACACGGAGTATGCCAGATTAGGGAAAGCTGCTAAATGCATTGGCTAACATTTTCTTGACTGTCATTGATACAGGGTGTAAATAAAAACAGAGCTCGGTGCCATTTCAGTCATTTTCTTGCTCACCTAGATTTCTGATTGTTAGAGCTTTGGTTGTTATTCTATTTATACTACACAGAAGGGCAGCACGGTGGGTCAGTGGTTAAGATGCTGGGCTTGTCAGCTGGAAAGCTGGCAGCCAGATTGGAGACCTGAGCACCATGTCACGGGGTGAACTCCCATCATTGCCCCAGCTTTTGCCAACCTAGCAGCTCGAAAGCATGCAAATGCGAGTAGATAAATAGGTACCACTTTGGTGGGGAGGTAACAGCACTCTGTGAAGTCATGCTGGCCACATGACCGCAAAAATGACTTTGGACAAGGCTGGCTCAATGGCCTTGAAACAAAGATGAGCACTGTCCCCTATAGTCAGCAACAACTAGTGGAATAAAATCCGCAGGGATTCCTTTACCTTTTACTTTACTCTACAGAAACTCATTTGTGATTCATCCAAAAATTATATGTTAATGTACACAGTTTCCTTTGGCCTTTTTCATTCTACTTCTGGAGGATTAGTGAAGGCCTCAGATGTATGCATTACTTAAATATAAAGCATACACTCCTTAAGGGTTTCATCAAATTGTTCTGAAATCCATCCGAAATGGGGACAGACTTCACTTTGGCCCAGAGCTCCATTTCTGCCTTTCACAGTTGTGAGATCTGATGCTATATTAAGACCTGGGACAATCTCTCTTGCTAGCATCTTTTTCATCTCTGCTCTTGTCCCCCTGCTAAAGAAAAGGCAGTGGTCACAGGTGCAAGTTTAGCATCAGTCTGGGTTATAATTGCAAAAGAAAATAAAATAAACTTACATCCAAGTCTTCGTCCTTAGCCCTAAAAAAACAAAATCAAGAGTTCTCTGCTAAAGGCTTATAGAGTTAAAAACCTTTGGGAGGTCTTTAAAAGTATTCAAACATGAGAGGCACAACAGGCCTTCAGTTCACAGCATTTTCTCTCCTGTAAAGAGATAGTGATAGGAATGTTTGCCTCCTCTCAGCTACCCCTTGTAACAATGTAGACACTGTTAGTTTTTATTGACTGATTGACTATATATTTTTATCTTTATCTTTCATCTCATGGCCCAATTATCCCTCAAGATGATATTCTGAAGCTCAATGAGAATAAGACATTTAAATTAACTGGAAACCAGAGGATACACTTTGTTCAAAAATGTTCCATTAAACAGATTTTCTTTGCCCGTGGGTTTCACCTGTTGCAATAAATAAGAAATAAAAGAACTGATTAATGCCTTCCCCACTCCAATGCCCAGTGAGAGGAGTAATATCGCTAAAACCATATGGTGGTTCTACCTTCTTTTTTCCCTGATCTATATTATTATCTGCTTTCTTCAAACCCATTTGACTTTTCTGCCCCCACAAATTCAGGCTTATCCTACAAAATTAGTCAAATATATGTTAGCCTAAAATTTTTAAAAGCTAGAGAAGTCTTGGGGAAACATGCCTCCCGCATCAAAAAAGCTCAGAATAGATTTCTCCAACTTGATGCTTTCCAGATAAATTGGACTACGTACAATTCTCATTATCCTAGAGAAGTACTCCTGGTTATGACTTTTAGCAAATATGGAAGTCCCTATAGAGGGCACAAGGTTGGGTATATTGGAGCCGAATGTTTCTCCAGTGAAGCTGCAATCTGTGTTACAGAACAGGACAAAACAAGGCCACATGGCCATGCTATCATTAGTCCAGCTACCAGAGGTTTTCTATACCTTGTAATAGACTTCCTGCTTTCATCAGGCTAATAAACTTGAGAAATTGCTTCCTAGCCAAAGGTCACCACGTCTCTATTTTTATTGCCATTCTGGGTCTTTACATTAGAGTTTGATTCTTATCACATGCTGACTTACACAAAAGCCTTGTTGTCTGAAAAGTGATTAGGGAAAGGTTAGCAGTATGTTGATGATGTACCAAAATAAAACTTAAAACTAAGCTTAGGCCCACTTCATGAGATTATTAGAGTACTGTGAGATCTGTTGTTGACATTGCTCGGAGTTATAGCACTGGACAGGGAAGAGACTCAAAGAAATGGGCTCTGAATCCAGATGAAAGCTGAATAAATATTGCCCTTTAAAAAGCTTTGCTGAGACTGGAGGCTTGTTTTTATCTTGCTTTACTTAAGGAAAACATACCTTTAAATGTTCATTTAATATTTGATGGGGATATTGCTTCTTTTGGTATGATATGAGCCCTTGGCAAGTAGGTGCCCCTAGAGCTGTACTTGTTTATTTGGCTATTTAGTGTTTAGCCGATATTGCCAAAATAATCCCTCATTTGTTAGCTTCATAGAAAAGGTATCTGCACTGATCTGCAGAAAAGAAATGCTTGGCAACAAAGAATAAAAACAGCAGAAAAGCTCCAGACTTAGATTCCTATCAACTCCACAGGAACAAGCCTCCGTCTGAAGGTACAGTCAGAGTACAGAACAAATCCACAGTTAGATGATATCTATTATTTAAAAATATACTTAGAGGTTACGGGAAAACAATTCTTAGGCATGATGATTCA